CATTACCAAGCATTTCGTTCATTTTGATGGAGGATTTTCTTTGAAAGCCGGGTTCTTCTCTCAGCGACCTGTGGCTTGCAATTTGTCTTTCTTTTTATATTCGCCTCTTGAGAAAAAATCCGAGCAATGATAGCTGCCAATTTCGATTATTTGTAGGAGTTCTTGATCATTCAGAAAATTTGCGCATTTTTCATATAACATAATAGTTTCAACTATATAGGCTGAGTAAACACATTGTAACTTTCATATTTCATGACATGTTGCCATTATCTTGTTATTTTAACATGAGCTGCCTTGAAAAAATCTAGAAAGTAGCATATTTGCCTATTTCTGAGTAGAAATCCCCTGGGGAGCGATCCCCTCCCCAGCGTTCCCCTTGTGCATAGCAGGGATGGCTGCTGGGGATCAATCCCCTGGGATAAAGCACGATATGCAGCTGATAGCTACAGCGTTTATGGAGAGCTGGCACAATTCGCAGCTTCTATTATGTGTTAGAATACTGCTTTGAGCGTCCGCGCGGCACCCCCCCCCCCCCCTTTTCGGCAGCATAACGTCTTCTACCCATTCCCTTGCAGAGACACATCAACTTTTATAGTTCAACATTTTTACGCTGAAATGGGGCATGAGCGAAAGTGGGCAGCATCCAAGAAAGCAGGAACATAATGGGAGTAGAAAAAATCATTTTTAGTGCCCCGAGCGCAGTCACTGCATACGCGCATTCCGCAACCCTAAATTATGTAAGTGAGGAGATGAAGATGAGTTGCAGTCAAAATATCAAATGAAAAAGAGTTTTTCATAGAAAATTTGAAAGCAAGGTGATTTCCCCGCTTGATCCCCTCTTGTGCATAAGGGGGTTCACTTCCCCTCCCCACAGGAGATCCCTTGTCCGATATTGTCTTTGTGCATACGGGGGTTCGCGCGGGGAGGGGAGGGGATCCCCAGCGGGGATCATTTCAATGGTTAAGCGCACATCCCCTCCCCGCGGGGGTGTACGTGCATACCGGCCTAAAGCAGCTGTTTAACGTTTTTGGATGTGCACCTAACTAAAGAAATTCGGGAGCTAAGAAGTGCTTTAATCAGTAAAAACTCCAGGTGGACCTATAATTTTGTCCATCCTTCAAGCCTACTTTTTTCAAAATTTTCAATTTTTTCTTGAATAACCAGATGAAAACGAGACCCATTTTGATGACTGATAGTAGGCTGGTAAACACACAGCTGTACCGAATTTTGGAACATTTTATTGACAACAGAGTAAGTTATGGCACTTTTTAGAGTGGACCTATAATTTTGTCCAGCACTGTATTAGCTTATTAACTCATGTTACTCATTACTCGGTTAAGACGCCGGAAAGACCTCAGCACTTGTTTTTATCTTAGCCAAAAGCTTGAAGTTTTTGCCTAAGAAAATTCTCATAACTCCTCTTCTAAAAGCGAGAGAAATAAGCCCAACATCGCAATGTTTTCAAAAACCAACGCTCCGAGTATGCCGCATGTGGACGTAGAAATCGCCTTTCAGTTACGGTAGATTATTTACACAACCTAATCACAAGTTTTCTTGGGGGCGTCAGCTTACAAATGTCGCGAGTACAGGTCAAAGTTTACCAGCCTTATCAGAGAGCAGTTGATCCTTTCAGCATTGCAATCCAAAAGATTATGCATTTTTTCCTTCTAGCCAATCTTGAAATCTCAATAGATAGTCATTTACAATAACTGACAATTTAGCAAAAAAGTGAACAATCTGCTTCTGTGCACTGTGCTATTTGCACTTCTCGGTTTGGCCGGCACTCGAATCTACTTCACCACATGTGCAAGAATGGATATGTCAATTCTCGGCAAAGTTTCTCGAGCAGCTTGTATAACATCATGCCGTTTACAGGTAAGTTAATTAAAGGAAAAGATCATAGGAAAGATTCCGAGATAAATATGCACGAAACAGGACAAAAATTGAAGAGAGTGAAAAGGTTTCAATCAAAAAAAAAACTGACTTTTTTGGCTTAAAACTGCGATTTTTTTCATTAAAATGATTACTACTTATCTGATAGAGTAATTTTAACTTTTCTTAATTAGATAAGCTACCACCAAAGCATAATCGTGGCTGATTGCAGAATTGCGGAACTGGATGCTGCCGAGAATAGAAGCGGACGCAAGACATGCGTTTGCTCAAGATGTGCGAACGGCGGTACTTTTCCACTTGAGGAACTCATGAAGAGAGGAAAATAGAAATTTCGCGAACCAAATAATCATCGAGATGTATGAACCAATATATTTTTCGTTCCCTGTAGTGATTAACAGTCCATTCCTGTGGTTGAGGCAAGTTCTTCACCTAGCGCGGCAAGACAATAAAAATATGGTAAACAACCATTAGGAAGAAAACAAGCTCTACAAGATAATACTTGCAAACCGCAAGTAGTTTAATTCAAGCGAAGTTGTAATCTAAATAAAATTATATTTGGGTGACCAAAATGCAAGACCTCCGTTCCATGTAGTTCTACAAGCCTCCAATTTGATCATGCATTAGGCCTCATGCCTAAGGCATACTTCACGCGAGTTGGTCAAATCGCCACCTCCACGCGACTTGGCGATTTGCCAGATTTGTACGGAATTATTGTGCACTCTTTTCAAAAGCATAGGCAATTACCCTTTGTAAGTTGTTGTGACCAGAACAAGTCCTGCTCAAGCAAAGCGCATTTTAGACCAGTTATAAACAAAACACGGCTGTTCCTGTACCAAATCGCGTAGCGACTGAAATCGCGTGAGGTATGCCCGGCCCTTTAAGCATACCCTCGATACAAAGAGCCACGTACTCTGGTAACCTTCACTTTAAGGGCTATGGGAGGGGGGGGGGGCACAACATTCACCTGGAAAAAAAACAGAAGTCATCCGGGGCTTTGCCCCGGATGTTATTACCCTGACTATACTATATCGGAACGAATGTTGATGAAGCAAATATAGGGATTAATATCTTTAGCTTATCTCAGCGAAACCGAGAATTTGCGTTTTCATAGCCTTTTTTTACCTTAAAAAGAAGGTTTCTGTGGGATTTTCGCCAGAATACAAGACAAAATTTCTGTTTTCCTCCCATTTGAACAAAATCGAGTTTCAGAAGTTTAGGAAAGCTATTGGAGTTAAATAAAAAATCCTATATCCTATCCTTTTCTTCGCTGTTTCGAACCCAATTTTAGCAAGCTATACATCATTTTGAAGCTCTCAATCTCTATTTTCACGCTGACAACGTCCCAGAACAACGTTTTTTGATTTGATTGAGAAATCCGGCAAAAACCTTGTTTTCGAAAATCTCTTGTTTTTCCCCTAGTTTAACTATTTTCACGCGGTTTTTTCGTGCATTCTATAGATCTTGCTTCTGTTCATAATGCAGACAACCACCCAGCCCTTACCTCTTCGATTATGGTGGAATTTTTTGCGAAAAATCGTAAAAAGTGCGTTTTTCTTCACCTTGTTCAGTTTCAGTGCTTTCGCATCGGTTTTTTTCCAGCTTGGGCGATTATTGCTCAGAACAATAAGCGCAACAATCCAGACAACGTCCCAGGAAATAGGAACGTCATTCCAGGGGTAAAAAGTCCCCGTGTTGCGAATTGCTGGTCCTGGAGCGAAAAATTGCACTCTGAAAAGCCGCCAAATGAAAGATTTCAAACCTTATTGCAGCATTTTTATCCGGTTTCCAGCAGTTTCTTTCGCTTTTTATGTATGTTTTACGTCACATTCTCTTCTCTGATCTTCTTTAAACAACCTTCACTATTTATGACGTCAGATGTTCAAACAACCTTCACTTTTTACCCCCTGTCTCTAGACTATCGAAGGTATGCCTTCAAGCCTCAGGCAGAGTCCACGCAATTTCATCGCCTCGCGATTCTCCAGAAAGACAACTGTTACTAGTTCATTGCGTGCCAATCCTCTTGCATTGCGGTAATGATGTTAGTCACGATTAGTCATGTCGAAAAACTATCACAACAAAATACAGGAAGATCAGCATGCAATGATCATAATAGTTGTCTTGTTAGAGAATCGCGAGGAGATAAAATCGCGTGAACTCTGCCCGAGGTCTTACTGTCCACATGCGATATTCATAAGTACAGTTTCTGCAATGTTTTCTCGCTTAAAGCTGAGAAATAAAGCTGGCATGCTCTAATAAACGCCATCCTGGGCTACTCTCACATAGGTTTAAACTACAAATTTTTGGAAGTAAAACTAAAGTTTTTTTAGCCTTCTGCACTACAGTGCAGCAGTGTATACTAAATTTACCGTCGTCTAGAACAGACTTTATGCCATTGGCGGACCAATAAGAGCAAGGAGTGGCCCGATCTCCCTGGGAGAAGCCTTTTCTTTCTCCAGAGTGCACTTTCTACTCGCAGCGGAATTTACTTTTTGAAAAAAAACCTAGCATTGCCGCTACTCCTCCTTCTTCAAGGATTTCTGTTCGAAAGCTTGCAAAAGCTGGAACTACCTGAAAATCAAGGAGGGCGGGCTTCTGAAACAGAACCGTCACCCCTTGCTTCCCCCTCCTCCCCAAGGACAATTTCTTGTACCGCCGCTGAAGGCTACATAAGTAGGCAAACGCTTTCCGAGATTTTTCCGGCCCATAAACTAAAAATGAAAAGGGCTTGCAAGATCAATGTAAATTCTCGAAATTCCAGGAAATTTCAGTTCTTTACAAATATAAATATGTTATGTGCATGATTTTACATGCAACTAACTTCCAAAAATTTCGCAACCCATTCCCTGGAGAACAGTCTTATCAAGCGCAAACATCGCTAACACATCTTACCAATTCTTTTTCTCTACCGCTTCTTTTCCATGAGATGATAGCTTTTTAGAGTTCGAGGCAATTTTGAGAAGTGTGGAATGATCTGTTCGATTGAGCAGCTTGGGACGTATGACTCTACGCGTTGGCAGATACCCATACGAGTAACATGATCCAGCAACACCTAAAACACCCCGACTGAAAAATGAATCTAACAAGATGCATAACCTTCCATCCAGACCTTTTGAGATATAGCAATATTTATCTGGTTTCTGTACAGTATAGCCGTAACAATCAATGAACACGATTCAACAAGCAACTGTATAAATCTATGATACCTACGCTATGGATCAAAACCCATAAAACTTTTCATGGCTGCAATCGGATCACCGTTTACTTCTACAAGCTTTCTTTCCACAACGCTCTGTAAGCAAACTTTTGTGCTGCCATATCACGAATAGGGAAGTAGAGCTACCTTCGGTAATTCCAGTTCATTCATTATCATTTCTAAGTCGTCCTTTTTGATGTTGATGATTTTTTGTCGCACCTGAAAAAAGCGAACCTTATCATCCTGCCTATACAAGGAACACACAATTAGCATGGCAATGTCATTCACCTACAACTTATATATTTCGAAAGCCACCTGGTGGTTTAAGTCAGAAATTGAGAGGAAAAGGGAGGGATGAATCTGAGCGAATCTATATCAAGAGGCGAGATTTTTATTGCTAGATGGATATCAAACAGGGCATTTCTAATGTCTTGTAAGGCTCTAGAAGAGAAGACCATTGCGTAGGCTGTTTATCCTCTTATTATGTCGAACAGATATTAAAAATTTAGAAGTAAACCCGTGAAAAGCGACTAAGGTTTTTTTTTCGATTAATTTTCCACCAAAAGCCCTCAAAGTTAATAAGTGGTAACTTCACAGAGCTAGTGAGCTAAAAAGTTTGCCTGATATTCTTGAAGACTAGTAGCTCTAAATTGGGTTGTTGGATTAATGGACAAGTTGCAAACTAGCAAATTAGAGTAGCAAATTTGATCCGGATCTGCGCGGTGTATGATATGCGGGCAATCTTTCAGCAATACCAAATCTTTGTAACAATCTAGAGATTTAAGAGGAAAATTTCAAACTGAAGTAGCTTTTAGCCCAAAATGCTTATCAGCGAATGGTCGGAGCTTAACCCACCCATTCCGAACAAGCTATATATTATCAGATTTGCCTCAATACTGACTTCAGATAAATCATCAATTCTATGACCAGTGGCAGTATTCATCAACGAACCCAATGGGTTCCGCAACCCACTGGGTAGGCTTAGCCCACGAGATCGGTATTCACAAAGCTAGTGAGTTCGCGAACCCAGCTGCGCTTTTTGGGAATATCGATCCAACCCAGTGGAACTTTTCGTACGGAACCCATTGAGTTCGTTGATGAATACGGCCACAGGAGACGCGCGACTGCATTGCGGACATTGTCTTAACAAGTTTGAGCTTGTTCTTCCTTGTTTCCAAAGAGTGAATAAACCTAAACGAGATAAATGACAAGTATAAACCTGCTAAGTACACGATTAGGTTTGTTTAGACAATGTGTGCAATGCGGTCTCGCATCTCCTAGTCTTAATGTTAGAATGAATGATACGTTTATATGTGCTGAACGACTAACTGAAACGAATTTTGGGCCTTTATTGTGAAATTATCGAGTTCAAACGGATATAATCGTTGCAAAGCAGCCTGAAAGTCCATAAATAATCACTGTGGAGTATTCTCCATTCAAGGAAGAAGCACCTGCAGGCTGCGATCCCTGCAATTCCTTTGATTCCTGCGGGTCCCGTAACAATATACACTGCGAAAAAACAAGGTATTTTGAAATTCGCAAAGCGCTACGTAGTGCGCCGCATCGGAAGTCGAGGAATTACAGGAACTGCACGAATTACAGGAATCGCAGGAATCACCTCCTAGAATAGTATGGCCGGTCCCTTCCAGACAGTCGCTTGGCAGATGGTAAACTTAAGGGCCAGGCATACTTCACGCGATTTGGCAAATCGCCGGAAGTCTTCAGATCTAACACTAGCAAACTGCACATGCATAGTGTGTATAACTTAAGTGGATTAATAAAATGCCCTATCTTCTGTATTAAAATGTACTTACAATGAGTTATGGACAGTTGGAATACTGCCAAATCGCGTCGCGACTGAAATCGCGTCAAATATGCCCGGCCCTTTATACTTGAGCTCAGCGTTTCAAGGCGATTCAGATGATATATAGCTTGTTTGGAATGGTCAGGTTAACTTTTGACATTTGCTGCTTAGATCTTGACACTAGCTATATCAGGCCTGCAGATTTTCCACAAATAAAACACTATGATTACTTTCCCGGAAGTTCTGGAAATATGGAAGGTAGATTCAAAATCAGCGCTTCAAGCTCTTCATGATGATATGCATCTTGTAGTGATCGGCCACTTCGACTTCGCGATACTCCCTTGTGAGTAAAGGATATTCGTCGACGACTGCCCCGACTCGTGCAATTACACCACCGTGGGCGCGCCTTCTTGGAGCCTTTCCCAGCTGGACAGTACCTGCAGCGCGCTGGGACTCAGTAGCTCGCAGCAACACTGTCCTTTAACCTCTTTTTCTTTATTTGAGCATTTCATATCGTTTTTTCTTCTTACTTTTTATATTTAGGCAGTAATTCGTTTTCCCTTTCTTTTAGTTCCTCTTTATGATCAAATATCCTATGTTCTACTTCGTTGGCTGAAAAGAAAGGGAAAAACTACCTTGGGCACATTTCCTGAATTATTCCTCCGTTTTACGTACGAAATATCTATTTTCAAAGTTGTGAATCATCGCACCGGGCAAAGTTAGGTGGAAACATGTGCTTTGTTCATGAGTAATAGTGTTTATCATGCATCTCCTTACATGAGATCCATCGAATGTTTATTTCCCACATCGTGTCCCTGCTATAAGAGTGCTGAAGCACCATTTCAATGGTCTGTCCTAAGAAACATGTCAAGTCATTGTAAAACATCGAAGAAAATATGCATTTCTAATCATGCCATGATAACCACCACTGCAACTAGGAAGAAAGCTCATTTTTCTTCTACATTTGCCCGCGGCGATGGTCTCACATAGTCATTAAAGTGTGTAAATGCCTGGAACGAAAAATAAGAAAAAAACGATGTGAAATGTCTAACAGACGAAAGAGGTTAAAGGACAAGGATGCTGCGAGCTCTCAGGTCCCCGCGCGCTGCAGCCTACTGTCAAGCTGGAAAGGCTCCCAAAAGGCGCGCCCACGATGGTGTAATTGCACGAGTCGGGGCAGTCGTCGACGAATATCCTTTATGCCAGTTGGGGTCCGCACCCGATATGGCACGCTAAACTGCGTGCAGCTCAATATACAACCAAGGGAATAGGTCAGCCAACGACGTCCTTAGATAATAACCGTGAGATGTCATCAACGTAGGCGACTACGGTGCAGCCCGCTGAAAGCCGCCAGTGTATGTCACAGAACAGATTTCGCAGTCGTTGCACCGTTTGCTACAGCACCCCCTACAGCGCCCAACAGGTTGTTCGTGGCACCGCGTTCAAGTCACTGGTTTCGCAGCCGAGTTAATCACATCGTCCCTGGTTGAAATTGCATTTGCGTAGTTATTGCTAGGAGTTTGACCCAGTGGTTTACTCAACAAAGCACTAGGATCAATACTTAGGGAAAATACGCATTTCGACCCCACTTTGCATTTCACCGTAATTGCCCTTAGCTCAACTGACTACTGAAAATTAGTGTCTTTTCCCATCAAGTGTGGATTAGATCAGTCCAGGGTTTCAACGTATCATACATAGAAACTGAACAGACCTATTTAGATGGGTGATACTTCTGGATATCGAAAAAAATAGCTGTTATTCTGTTTATTTTCTATTTGAAGCATCTTCCAGAAACTGGTGCTGGTAAAAGCCAAGAATGAATGTCGCACTAAGGATGTTCGGAGTTTTGCCCTTCTTGATGAGTTGTTGAGCTGTATAACATCACCTGGATAGGTGTTGAAAGCTACACCTTACCATACAACCTAGTATAGCTTACCTATTGTCTTGTTCAAGGAAGAGTGACGACATGAGTTTGGATCTTACACCGTGTATAACTTTGAGAACTCAAGATAGTGTGACAATTCAACTATTGCTGAGGTCTTTCCATTCATTGACTGAGCTCATGCCAACGTACACTCTAACGCAACAGCTTTAGGAACTGTATGCGTTCGTAGCAAAGCGAAAGCCGCTATTTGCTGGCAGGACCATCGCGCACTCGCGAACTTCAAAAAGAACCTGCGATGCTATCTGCGCCCATGATCACTGTCATTCTGCAGCCTTTTCTCTTCGCATTTTGTCACTATTTGTACGTAAGGCTGCATCCGAAGGGAAACTATAATTCGTTCGGATTGCGGCGCTGACTTAACTTACAGTAAACGTAATGCAACCACAAAATGTGTTCCTTCTTACTTTCTTTAATCTTACTAATTGCATAAAGTGGTCTTGGAATTGATATGATGTGTTGCTGATCATCTGGATCGTAGATAACACATCGACTCAAGTTACACTCATGACTAGTAGCCGGTAGGTAGTACACTGACTAGCTAGCATCGTCAGTGTTAGAGCTTATGATAGGATTTCTCTGAGGAACTGAAGTGAATGAAGGTGAGAAATATCAATAACTAGCTGGCTTACCCGGCTCCGCCGTATCCGGACCAAACTTGGCACACATACACTTCGGCCCCCGGCGGGTGTCACAGTCCACTTTTCGTTATCGATCGATGTCGATTTTACCGATTTTTATCGATTTTTTTGCAGAATTCACCTACAGGGCTAGGATTTGGCACAGGGGGGAAGTGAGCATGGGGATTCCGAATACAATATTAGTTTCCAGAATTATCGATTACTTTTATTGATCTTATCGATTTTTTGTAAATTTTGACATGCGAGGCTGGGATTTTGCACAGGGGGTAATCGAGCATGCTGATTACGAACACAATATTAGTTTTCAGGATCGTCCATTACTTTTATCGGTTTTATCGATTTTTTTGTAAAGTTTGACCTGCGGGGCTGGGAGTTTGCACAGGGGGGTAATCGAGCATGCAGATTACGAATACAATATTAGTTTTCAAGATCATCCATTACTTTTATCGATTTTATCGATTTTTTGAAAATTCGAGCTAGGGGGCTGGAATTTGGCACAGGGGTGTAATAGCATGCTGATCACCCCCCTTGGGGATGATCAGCATGCTCGATTACCCCCCTGTGCCAACTCCCAGCCCCCTAGCTCAAACTTTGCAAAAAAATCGATAAAATCGATAAAAATAATCGATAATCTCGAAAACCATTATTGTATTCGGAATCCCCATGCTCGATTACCCCCCTATGCGAACTCCCAGCCCCGTAGCTCAAACTTTGCAAAAAAATCGATAAAATCGATAAAAGTAATCGATAATCCTGAAAACCAATATTGTATTCGGAATCCCCATGCTCGATTACCCCCCTGTGCCAACTCCCAGCCCCGTAGCTCAAACTTTGCAAAAAAATCGATAAAATCGATAAAAGTAATCGATAATCCTGAAAACCAATATTGTATTCGGAATCCCCATGCTCGATTACCCCCCTGTGCCAACTCCCAGCCCCGTAGGTGAACTCAGCAAAAAAATCGATAAAAATCGATAAAATCGATATCGATCGATGACGAAAAGTAGCCTATGACACCCGCCGGGGCCCATAGTGTATGTGTGCCAAGTTTGGTCCGGATCGGTTCAGAAATGGAATTTTCTATTCGGAACATACGTACAGACATACAGACAGACAGACATACAGACAGACAGACAGACAGACAAACAGACATTCAGCTTTATATATAAGATCATATTTACGTCTCATTACAGCTGAGGGGACTGAAACAAAAAAAACAGCATTCGCCATGTAGATGGCGAAAACTCAGACTAGAAGAATGGGGTGACCGGAATATAAGTCTTGGGGAACCTTCATTGAAACGTTGATACGCTCGTTATCCTAGTAGAAAAACCTTGAAAGAGAGAAAGAACGATGATCCAGGGCTGAAAGTAAGAGAAAAAAACAAAGCAACTACGAATATGCCAATTTAGACAACGGTTCTGAAAGCAATAGACTCAGAATCTGCGTATGATACATCACCTGTGTTAGGTGCGAAAAAAACCGCTCATCTTTTGATGTCCTTGTACTCAGACAATCGACCGGACCCCTCCGCCGGACAGTCCGAATCTGCCAGAGTCGCGCCGGACCCAGTTGACCAATGAGAGAGGGGCAAATGGGCGGTCCGTCGCGGTGACATCACTGGCAGGGTGGGAGGCTTCTCCGGCCCTGCTGCAAAGGTATGCCATTTCTCCGGCGCGACTCTGCCAGATTTGGCGGACTCGCGCCGGAGAAATTTGCTCGGCGCGAGTCCGCCAGATTTGGAAGAGCCGCGCTCGAGAAAATCGGAGGGGTCCGGAGCAGAAATGAGAGGCCTCCGGAGCAGAAAATGGGAGGTATCCGGAGCAGAAAATGGGAGGTATCCGGAGCAGAAAATGGGAGGTATCCGGCGGACAAATGGGAGATCCACCGCTGGGGAAACGCCGCGACCCTGCCATTTCTCCGGCGGAGGGGTCCTATCCGTTGCCTGAGTAGTTCTTGTACGCCCAAAACCTCGGACAAGAACTGCTTCTGCATTAGGTTCATTTTGAAGTTCGCAGGTACGCTGGTCCCGCCACGAACACCCTGTTAGGCGCGCTAGGGGGTACTGTGGCAAACGGTGCAACGACTGCGAAATCTGTTCTGTGTGTATGTCTCGTATCTTAACGTGCTCTAGAGCAACGGCTGCGTGGCATCCGCTTCTTTTGAATAAGAGGAAGGAAGTAGAGAAGCTCAGCTTTAGAAGGAAAAAGAAAAGAATTTACAATACATTCAAACTGACGAAAAAACTCACTGGTTGTGGATGTGACATAATTTTTCCTAGAGCGGCTGATGACATATCCAAATCGTCTTTGTCTTCAACGACTTCTTTGACCTTGATATCATTTTTGAATCCAGAAGACTAATATTAAACAAAAAGGAATTACCTTTTCAAGATCCGCAGCACCCCAATTATGTTTGTCGTTTTGTTTCGTTTCCTCCTCTGGCGCATCATGTTCGTCCTTGTCAGCCATTTCTGCAGAGTTTCAAAATCTACAAACATAAGCTTTAAACTTCTATAAACGAGCACAAACAAACAAGAAGACGATTATTTTGAAAAGGATTTTCAAAGAGTAGTCAAGGCCTTCCAAACACGAACTTGACGTCAAGGCATGCGTTTTGCGTCAATTGACTTATGATTGGCACTTTTCTGTAAAAGTGCGGGGTCGACCCGCAATTCACCGTTCGTAAGCCGATAGTTCGATGAAAACCAGTTGCCGGAGTATTTCAGTCCGGGTTTTGTATGTTTTGCTTACAAGTCTCTGTGAAACTTACATGTTATCTAGTAGGAAATTATTCCTGGCTTTGCTCACAAAATTATGGCGGCGGAGCTGTTTACCATTATGGATTTCGAATTTTTCTCGATGGCGGCTATAAGTGCCCTTTCTATTTGCGCTTTCTAATTTTGTCATCTCTCATTTGCTTCATCGATCGGGCTGGTTGTGGATTGTTCGGTTGCGGCTCCGCTCCATTTTTCTTCACTGAAAAACCATGCAGAGATATGCTTGATGCAAATCGCACCCGTCGTTGCTGACTCATCCAGCTTCCGTTTAAAATGCGTTTACGTCGTTCAATAAGAAAGTCTCAAGAAGGTCAAAATTGTATTTTCAGGACGTCGGTGAGGAATGGACAGCGGGAGTGAGAGCTCCACTGCTGGGGGCACTGCGCCAATTGAGGTGAGAATTACGACATTAATTACTTAGTTTTCATTTCTTCTATTTTCGCCGAAGAAAAACAGGTTCACAAAAAGATTAGGGATAAAAGGAAGTCTAATATAGGGTCGTGGATGTTAATTTGCTCAGAGGTAGTATGAAATTATCGAACAATGCTCTTTCGCAATAACGCATCGCGTTCGAAAGCATTTAAAAAACGCAGTTTGTTTGTTGATCATGGGCTTTATTATGGATGTCCGTTGACTAAGATCAGCTGACACTATCTTGTCTGACATTGTCAAAGTTATATTTCGTTTAAGTTGGTCGATAAGTTACATCCAACGGTTGCTTGCAGATAAGGGTTATAGAATTTAAGCTCAGCGATGTAAAATTATTAGATAATGCTCTTTCCCAATAACTGCATCGAGTTTAGGAAGCAGTTACTACGAAATATATATTTGTTAAATAAATAAAATAACCTGTTTGCATCTGGATCTTTAATTTCGTTAGATAGATATATCATTTACTTACTTTACTTGTTGCTCAAAAAACAAAAAAAACGCAATGGTGAGTCTACATGGACCTTTGACATAGCGCCTATCGAACAGCAAACGACCAACTACATGTTTCCAAAGGGAAACAGGTAGCCGTGCTGTTTCTGGTTGTTTGTTGATGATGAGTTTTTAGCACTCAGAAAGCACAGAAGCCAACGAAATGCGGCAATGTAAATGGGAGAGCGAGCAAAAAAATCCGCATTTCACATCATACACTGTAAATCTGAAATTCCACATAAAGGCCACATGTGGAGTGAGTGTAAATTACGAGATCGGGATGTCAAATGTCTATCAGTCTAGCTCGAAGTGAATCTGAATTTTGAACTTTTTAATTCTATCAAGTGGAATAGCCTTGATTGTTCGGAATTAACCAAAGAGCTGGAAATGGAGTCAATATATCGCAGATGGGAACCTCACTTCGCTCACATCCAAAGAGCGAGTTTAGCAGCTTACGGACCTTATCTGATCTAACAGAATGCTTTTGTTTTGACATTGTCAACAAAGGTCTTTTCGACTGCCATGGAGTAGTTTTTTTATGTTCGCTAAATCAAACACACTTGCATAATAGCGTTGGTGTGGATCATCAAGTTTTTTGAAAATGATTGCGAAAACGACATATATCGCTATGCTTGTCATACGATAGGTATAGTAGTTATAGGCAGGGCTCGGCACGAGGTGGCTTACAAGCAAGCTGGATATCGTTTTTGGGACGAAAAGCAAAGAGAGTTTCGTTTTTGTGACCGACGAGACACGCAAAATTGGTGATTTGGCGACGTTTTTTTAGTCGACGTTTCGTTTTTTGGAGGATTTTTAGGGAATATGGTGGGGGGTCAAAGGGGACTTCGTAAAAATACCCAAAAGTCAAGGGGGACTTCGTTTTTTGCATTTTCATCTAGCCACCTCGTGCCGAGCCCTGGTTATAGGCTATTTAAAAAATCGTGACGACGTATTTGACTGCGGTCCTTGCGCCTACGGGAGCATTGGACTTCCATACAAAAAGGCATATCAATGCTCAGCTAAGTCACTTCCAGTTCTAAATAGATCATAAATAAATGGGAAACCGTTCGAGTAGGGATCGAAACCAAAAAAAAATTGCAATTGCGCGTGTCGCGCGCGGTCGCGCCATCGTCACGACTTTCCAAATACCCTTTACATTGCGAGAGGTCAAACTTGTTTTTTTTCAAATTATCTTGTGGTAGGATCTTTTCCTTTATTCTTACAGTGGAGTTCCTCAGTTATACGTAAATACAGGTTATATATTTTTTGATCAACCACTAGTCGTAGCTAAAACAGTCACTTCCATAACTACTATCGAATTGCCTGGTAAGGTGTTAGCTCTTGGGGAAGAAGACAAGAAGGTAGAAAAAAATTGAAATCACTTTTATGAAGAGCTAGCGTGAAATAGGCACATGTGACTTTTCAAAATAGTGCAAAACCCACGAAACGAAACGAAACGCTGTTTTGAGCTGTGCTGGGTGCAGAAAGTCATATGTAGAAAATGAATTCTTACAATCTTGGCAATACAGGATTTGAGAAATGCCACTCATCGTTGGTATCGTTGCCATTAGCAATACGCCATCGGTGGGTTGAGTTGCCGTAAATTTCTTGAAACGTTCAGGTTTCAAGTATTCTTTAAACCTCGCAGAATAGCTATAGTTATCAGTAAAGCTTTGATCGTTATTTGCTTTGAAGCACATCATGAAATGACCATAAAACGAATGATTTAGATTTGAAAATGAGTGCGAAATGAAATATGCAACCAGATATCCAGATGATGTGGAGGGCGGGGCAGAACATAAAATAGCAGCGCTACATTTATGATTGATTAAGTTTTTTATTACACCGCTCATTGCATTAATCATGTATGGGCGCTACGGTGATTGACGAATGTAGATTCAATAATGAACAACGAAATTCTACGTGATTAATTAGGATGCGGCGAATTTTCAATTTACTGAATTAACTCCATGAGTGGTTACTGTACTCCCCACGAAGTGAAATGTCTGGAGCGATAGGACGGAAGACACGAGAGGAAATTGGTTCTCAGCGCCTGGTGCGTGCAGAAAATTTTGAATTCTTGCGTGACTCAAAATTTTCATGTGTAATTTTCATTTACCTCATTTGTTGAGCTAATTGTTCTGGCAGAAAGTCGGGATTTTTTTCGCTTTCAAGAACAAGAGTTGAGGGTCGGAGCTGTCCTATTCAAGGGTTATTTCCAGCCCGTAATTGATAGTGACTGAACTTCTGCTTTTGTTTGCTTCTTCGAAGAAATGTATAACTCAAAGAAAACTTCTTCTCCGTGAGAAGTTAATCTTAAGTTACATGGTTATTTGTTTTCTTGATAGATAGAGCTTCGACAATGTGTCTGCTAATTTGGACAAGATCTCAACTCATACAAGCATGCCTTGAAGGGCTCTGACTCCGACTAGTTTTTTGTGAGATTTTTTTTACAAATAGTAGCCCTAATAACTTTCTAATGGAAAGTCATACCTCCATGATTGATTCATTGATTTTCTTTATGAATGCAGCATAACGACTATGCGTCTCAAGAACGAAGCGTGACAAATACAGAAATCTGAACTTTTGAACTTTGATTTCTACCTGCAATCTTTTCACCATCATCGTAGACACTACAAGTTCGCAACTTTTGTAGCTTAAGGTTTGCCTTTTTGCAGGTTCGGAAAAAGGAAAGTTGATAATCTGAGCTTACGTATAGTGATTAGACAAGAGGGAAAACGGCTGCTGAGCTTCTTACTTAGACGAATGACGCATTGAACTCGGCGCACAGATGTTGGACGAAATGACGTTTTCTTTTTCTTGTGTGGACTGATAGACGAATGCGACCGCACTCTGAAATGTTGCTAGGAATGCATAGAATGTTCTTCTAGGGTTTTCGCGACCATCGCTGCAGCTACCAACACAGACGCATCGATAGTCGGATTGTGTCGATGTTCTGTGTTGTGCTGGTGCTGGCGGAGGATTCATCGATATAGTCACTCAATTAGGGCCGTGCTGTGCCGAGGACGGCTAGCAAAAACCATTCTGTTCGTGCTGTGTTTGCTGTTTGCCAACACAGCAGCCCATCGCGGGGTTGCATCGGCCAGCGGTGGCGGCTGCGGCTCGGCAGCAGCATTGCGCCTCCGACATCGCAACGGATTATGAAACACGTCCTCCTCAGCGCCCCCAATAGCGCATTGGCCTGATTGACGATCAGCGAGTGCATTATCTGCGCTTATATTGCTATTTATACTTTCGGAATCTGCACTTTAGTTGCTCGCACCTACAGCGCCATACATGGAGTCACCAAGTCCATCACCGAGCCCTATACCGGTCAAAGAGGTACATAGCATCGTCTTTCGGGATATATGCTTTGTAAATATCTTAGCTTATAAGTATTAGAGATTTCTTTTTCATTTACCCTTTTCCTCGTTTTTTTAAGGTCCGGCCATACTAATCCAGGAGGTGATTCCTGCATTCCTGTAATTCCTGCATTTTATAATTCTCGAATTCCGATGTGGCGCACCACTTAGCGCTTAACGAGAGATATACATAGTTGTGGTACCCGCTGCAATCAAAGAAATCGCAGGAAGTGCAGGAATCACAGGAGTAAGATAATCGGTCCCTTTTTGTAATTTCTCGAAAAGTTCTTGCTTCTTATCGTACAATCATTAACCGCTTGATGATGGTCCCAGATTCCACACTGACCCAAGCCTTTCTTTGAAAGTTCTGGTTGATGTTAGGAACTCTGTAATGCTCAACATTGTGCAGAGAAAGAGGGCAGATGATGTCCTCTCTCTATGGAGATATTGACTGGTCATTCACTTTATTCGTAGCTAACACTCTTAATTAAATCCTGCCCGTGTCAGCTGAACACGTTTTCTTCATGTACTCCCTGCTTTTGCTTCATTTGTAAGAGTGCTGACTGTCCATGGCCATACTTATGTTAATTGAAACACCTTCTATCGCTTAAGTCAAGTAGGGAATCCTTGCAAATGTGCGGCTCCCCTATCCTGCACTCAGTGACTTTTCATGCTTAGTGGAAATCGATGTGAGAAACGTCTTAGCTTCCCAGCGTTTGTGGTAGTAATGTTCCGAAAACTTTTATTTTTATGGGTTTTGAAATGATGGAGATCAACCCTGGGGTGTAGTCATTTATCGATAAGGGGGTACTTGTGATAAATCTTTACGAGCCCATCAATTACGGGCGTTTTGGCTTGACGACAACAAGTCAAAACGCAAAATTTAGGTGAACTCGTAAAGATTGAGCTTGACCATTAAGCTTCTGAGCAAGAATTCTTCTTTCTCAGGAAAACACTTGACCTGCTTATTCTGTGGATGGAGAAATTTGTCATGAAATCAAAAACCAAGGGAAAATCAACCCCCCCCCCCCCCCCCACGAACTAGAGTAATATCGGGTCAGTGCACTTCAAATTTAGAGGTGTCTGTCAAGGGACTGCTATTGTGGCAATGGAACGACTGTATCGAAAAGTCCTCGAAATGTGAACACATACATTAAGGCAAAGTATTTTTTTTCTTAATGTATGTGTCAAGAAAAAAAAAGAGTACTTGTGAAGTTGAAGTCTAGTCCATCGATCGATGGGCTAAGGCTTAACTTCCTTTGCTCTCATTCAGGTGTACAAAGTGTTCAGGTATGAAAATGATGTGCGGAAAGCACGGAATCATTGGAATGTGTCTTTATGTGACTCTCGCTTCCAGACGTCTATTAATTTTTTCATATTGAAGGTGGCAATCGCTTCCAAAGAATCGGTGACGGAATATGTGAAGAATGCGGGTTTGGCTTTGCTCGGTGCGACAAACCATGCAGCGCAGCTGGAAACGGTACTCGAAGATTCGGAAGCGGTTGTGAAGTTTATTACCGATCCACAAACTCATGTACTTGTCGTGGATAGAACAATTCATCGTGGTATGTTTATAGGAATACATTTATTCTAGAGGTATACGTCATAATTGCAAATTCTCTGCATTGCAGATCAATCAGGTGATGCGGATACGGGTGACGAAAGCGAAACAGCGGTTGTGGTGTTCACAGTTCGTAATGACGTGCTGTACAGAACAGATAAAAGCACATCGATAGTGTTTATGAAAAGAGGAGCAATCGTAGAAGCCGATAAATCGATTCCGGATCAGCTGAGAGTGATCGTGTAAGTTGCAGCTTACAATTTTTTAATGTAATTTTTTGAAGATGGATATCGAGCTAAATTTTTCGAAATATCTGTTTGGCCGGCGAGTTTTTTATGTTTTCCACCACGTTTGCGTGTTTAAATTTATTTGTTGTCGCTCAACGCGATTACCAGCACTCTTCTTTTCTCCACTGTCTGGAGGCCCTCTTATCGCTTAGAGATCGTTTGCTTTCTGCTCGGTCTCAAGTGTCAATCATCTTCTTGCTTGCTCTTCTCGCTTATCTGATAGAAGCAGCTGTCTTCTCTTTTTTTGACTATTTATGCTATTTATGGCAGTGCAAAGTCGTTAGGTGCGATCTGTGTGCTACCGCTTGCTGTCATCATAAGCCGTAAATACCAGCAGTTTCAAAGTAAGAATCCAGCAGTTTCGTAACCGGCTTTGTTATGCAAAATTGGTTCTGAACTATAATTCTATGACAAAAATCGTGTGAAAAAAAATTTACGTTCATTAATTGGGTTGATGACGGTGTTTGGAGAATACGCAACTGCGTATTTTCAGTTTGAATGAAGGAAATCCCTACGAAACATTGTTCTCACTAATCGGAAAAGCAGTAACTCCATACTTCAAATCATTCATCAAAGAAAGTGGACGAGGAGAACGTGATGGCGACAAACTTGCCCCTACAGTCGAGAAAAACCTCAATGAGGCTGAGGTTCGTGACCTCTCGCGCAAGACAAGAATACTTATGAATTGCTTTATTCAAGGTTGCTTTGCTACACCTACAACAAAATATCGACATACCAGAGATTAACTTAGTAATAAATCCACATATACAAGCTGCTATACAAAAAGCTAATAAAGAGGGAAGAAAGGCAAAGGTAAATTACGCTTTTGTTTGTTCCAGAAATCAAACAGCCTTCCTTTTGTAGGTGGCTGATTTGGGAGATTTGGTGGAAGACTCACAGTTTCTTAATAGTCTGCAGTCCGGAGTAAACAGATGGATCAAGGAAATCAGAAAAGTTGGTTTGAGTATTTCCTTGGCTCTTTTGGCACTGTTAACTAGTGAGTGCTCTCTTGAAGGTAACAAAGCTAGAGCGAGACCCAGGATCTGGCTCGTCGCTACAGGAAATGACATTTTGGCTAAATTTGGAGCGGGCTTTGCAAAAAATCCTACAAAAAAGAGAATCCGAAGAGGTGAGTTAATTTCATGGTAATAATCAGTTCTTGATATTCCGCTTTCCAGGTTACATTGACTCTCGAAGCGCTGAAATGCGGAAAACGTTTCCATGCTACTGTTTCATTTGATACAGATACCGGTAAGTCTCCTTGGTCTAAATTTTTCGTGAAAAAAATTTGTTAACATATTTGACATTATTAAAACAGGTGCTACGGGACTGCTTGTTGGAGGTTTTTATCTTTTATAGAAAGTAGATTATGTTTTTGTGGATTCCTTCTTTTTCAATCGCATTTTCAACAGGTTCACTTGTAGGAAACTCATGGTGAAAACTGTTATAAAAACATTGGTTACATTTGTCTTTAATCAGATTCGAAAGAATCTTTGATGGAAATTTTACGAAAAAAGTAATGTTGATGACATTCTTTGTAGGACTCAAACAAACCTTAGCTCTCGTTACTGACTACAACTCACTGATGAAGGATTTCCCATTAAATGAGCTCGTCTCGGCGACCGACTTGGATTCCATCAAAGTGGCGCTAGGCAATGTCTTTGGGCACATGAAGAAAATCAGGTAATGCAACCTTATCCTATTTATCTCTCATAATTAATGTTGACTCCAACTGCAGAGCCACGAAGTATCCTATTCAACGTGCGCTGAGATTTATCGAGGCCATATCAAGGGATATGAATGCGCAAATCTTGAAGGTTGGACTCTATACAATCGAAAAAATTGTTCTAGCACCCTCCAGTGGTATTTGTTTAGGTTTTGGGCACACGTCGACTGATGCATATCTCAATTGTGGAATTTGATCAGCTAATGATGCAGTGCATCCAGCTGTTTACCAAATGGGACGATGAATATGACAAGTGGGGATGCCTGAAATCAGCTTCGATGAGACCGGAGATCAAAATTTTGTTTTTCAAGGTTCATCACTCTACTTCGAGATATTTCAAAGAAAAAGCGAGATGAACCGGTAAAGTTGATGTGGAAAGTGCAGCCACTGCACAAAAAGCTCGAAGGACGACTTGTACAGATCAAGGCGTTCAGGAAGTAAGTTGATTTCGTTTTTCGGAAACATTGTACCTAATTGGATTACAGTACACTTTTCGTAAAAAAGAGTGCAATTATCATTCAAATGTCTACATTGTGTTTCATGTTCTTTAGGACTATTCTTTCAGTATTGACCTTTTGTCTGTGTTTTTCTCTAGTATCTGGCAAAAAATTGTCCACAATTGTTTAGACAACATGAACAGCTTCGCGTTGTCATTGCACGAGTACTTCGTCCAGCGGGTACTCCATCTGGTGAGACTCAGCCAGAAACTCAACCTCCACATACTGGTGAACTTACTCCTGTAGACCAGGTAAGAGCGGTGGACTCAGCTTAATGCTACTAAAAAATCATTTTGAGGTGAACTTGGCATATGAGTTTGTAAAAGAGGTTGACTGCCTCGATGTAAGCATTGAAGGCACCACTGCTTGGGATGCTGCCCAACGCAGGTAGTTTATTGCGAACTTTACCATTGATGCTAATCAAGTTAACATTCTCTTAGATATGAGGAGCAGATCGCAAGAGTGGAGACGGCGATCACATCGAGACTCCGAGATCAGCTAGGTTCTGCTAGAAATGCAAATGAGATGTTCAGCATCTTCAGGTAAATATTTGTATGAAAAAGGTTTTGCAGCTGTGTCAGTACGGAGTTTTTAGTCGTTTCAATGCTCTATTCTGCCGTCCACAAATTCTTGGTGCCGTTCGAGAGTACCAAACTCAACTGATTCAAAGAGTAAAGGAGGATATTGAGAGGTTACAGGTATGCTGCTGCCTATGTTCGTTGATCTTTTCATACAGCGTACCTTCTGCCTTTCAGGCCAAGTTCACAAAGCAGTATGCGGATAATCGCGGTGAAATTCTGACACAAACCTTTGATATCCCTCCGCTTTCTGCAAATATCATTTGGATTCGCCAAATTGAGCGACAGCTGCAGTTGTACATGCAAAGAGTAGCTTCTGTACTAGGTACTGGATGGGAGAATCATGTTGAAGGTTAGTCGCGGCTTTTTGTTCCTGTTTTCTTAATCATGAATTTTTTTCTTGTTGGTCTGTGTCCACAGTTCAATTACCTTGAATGATTAGATTTGGTATGGTTTATAATCGAATGATGTTGTCGATTATGTTGTCGATCAATTACCGAATCATATCATCATCAAAGAAGTTGTGTAATTTCAGCACGCCAACTGAAAACTGAAGCCGATAATTTCCGCAAAGTGCTTGATACCCAAGGATTGTTCGAAAATTGGGTGGAGCAGATCTTAGCCAAAGGCACGAACACACCGGGAAGAGTGAGTATCTGGGGGTGTAGTGAAAATAGCGGCAAAAATGCTATGGATGATTTGTTCCAAACCTAGGTTTTTGTCATTGATCGACGCTCCAAAGATGGCAAACCATTCCTGCACCTCAAGGTCAACTTTAGCCCTGAAAGCATTGTACTTCATAAGGAGGTAAGCTAGATATTACTTCTTCGAATTGTGATTCGTTTATTTTCATTCATACAAGTTTCGGTATGCTTTACTTATCTGTTCATCTTTTCTGCAAAAATATGTTACAGGTTCGTAACCTCAAAAACATGGGTTTCCGAATACCCCTAAAAGTTGTAAACGCAGCTCATCAAGCTAATCAAATCTACCCCTATGCTATCAGCCTGTTGGAATCGATCAGGGTAAATTTCCCAGTTTTCATTGGACCGAAGCAGTAATCATACTTTGCAGACTTACGAATCAATTAACGAGAGATTGTCAGCAAAAACTGGCATTGACACACTTATTGCTAGCTACAAGAAGGATATACAATCACAAATTGGGGAAGGGTATCAGCTCACATGGGAGTCTTACAAAATTGACCCTTATGTAACAAAACTTGCGGATACCGTTAATAATTACCAGGTATGGTTTAACCTTAGACTAGGTTAAGAGGGTAATGATTTGCTAATGGTATGTTTAGGAACGCGTTGAAGAGCTGATTCTTATCGCAGACAGCATTGAAGTTGATCTAGCTGCTCTAGACACTTGTCAATACAATACTGAAACGATTGGCGCCCAACTGGCTTCGATTCAGAAGTCTGTAGATCAGTTGGCGCTGGGTAACTATTCAAACCTAACCCAGTGGGTGGATAAACTGGACAAGAAGATTGAGGCTAAGCTCGCTGCAAGGGTAGAAGAAGCTATCAGGCTTTGGACGTTGGTCTTCTCTGCCAGTGAAGAAGTGGACGAGTACAAAGAAAGCAATGTAGCTTTACCTCCAGTGCATCCAGTACTGATTGAGATCCGTTTGACAGCTCAGACAATCTATATAAGTCCTTCGATAGAGCAAGCAAGGGCCAAGCTGATAGAGCAGCTCGTTCAGTGGCATGCTGTGGTGACGAGTCAACCTAGAATTAGCAGCACTAGGTTCCAGCTGGCCATGAATCGCGATCTAAATGTAGCCACGTACAAGAACGTCCTGAGCCACCTTCCTAATGGTCTGGGTGTTCTGGAAAATGCTTACATCACAGTAGATCGCATTTTGAGAGAAGTGGATGAATATGTAAGCGAATGGCTGAGATATCAAGCGCTGTGGGATCTGCAAGCTGAAATGCTGTACGAGAAACTTGGCACGGATCTATCGAAATGGATGAAGACATTGGTAGAGATACGAAAGAGCCGAAGCACTTTTGACACTCAGGATACGAAGAAGGAAATATTCCCTGTAGTTGTTGACTATGCTAAAGTGCAGCTCAAAGTAACCCTGAAGTACGACTACTGGCACAAGGAGGTCCTGCAGAAGTTTGGTACAGCTGTTGGAAATGAAATGCAGCAATTCTTCGGCAATATCTCCAAGTGGCGTGAAGAGCTCGAATCGCAAGGAGTGGATTCTGGAACGACAAGCGATGCGGTGGCGTTGATTACATATGTACAGACTCTGAAGAAACAAACCAAAGTCGGGCAAGAGACGGTAGATCAGTTCCGAGCAGCCCAGCGTCTTCTGTCGCAACAGCGTTATCAATTCCCAGCTCAATGGATGTATGCTGAGAATGTTGAAGGAGAATGGTCTGCACTGACGGAGATATTGCTGCGAAAGGACTCGGCTATACAGTCACAGGTGGGAAGAGTTGGATCTATTTATTTTTCCCTCAAAGGCAGTATCACTCAAGTCGAGCTTGGTGAGCAGCATACAGTAGCAGGGCCCTTAATAATTAGTTGCTCAAGTCCCGCTGCCATGGATTTCTGAAGCAAGAGAGTCGCTCATAAAAGTGGTGCTGCTGGGGTCACTATACCCATCAATTTAGGTGGTCAAAAGTAATGTCCCTGAAACTGGACTCCAGAGTACATAAATTCGAATGCGTTTTTCACAATGGAAGGCGGATTTTCGACATCACGAGATATTGTGGTGTCTGGTCGGGCTCATCTTATATATAAAGCTGAATGTCTGTTTGTCTGTCTGTCTGTCTGTCTGTCTGTATGTCTGTATGTACGTATGCTCCGCATAGAAAATTCCATTTCTGAACCGATCGGGACCAAACTTGGCACACATACACTTCGAGCCCCGGCGGATATCATAGGCTACTTTTCGTCATCGATCGATATCGATTTTTTGCAAAATTTGAGCTAGGGGGCTGGAATTTGGCAGAGGGGTGTAATCGAGCATGCTGATCCATGCTGATCACCCCCACGGGGGTGATCAGCATGCTCGATTACCCCCCTGTGCCAACTCCCAGCCCCGTAGCTCAAATTTTGCAAAAAATCGATAAAATCGATATCGATCGATGACGAAAAGTGGACTGTGACACCCGCCGGGGCCCGAAGTGTATGTGTGCCAAGTTTGGTCCGGATCGGTTAAGAAATGGAATTTTCTATTCGGAACATACGGCGGAGCCGGGTAAGCCAGCTAGTTACCAGTAATCCGTTGACGGGCGTGGCGACCCTAGCAGCACCATTTTCCTGAGCGATTCTCTAGCTTCAGAATACACCTTTTGCAGCGAGACATGGACCATTTAGACAAGGGTCCGCTAAGTACTGCAGATCTCACTAATTCGTTCTGTGTACGGTGCCTTCAACGAAATCTTTACGGTTTGAGCAAATTTGAGCGATATTCTGACTTTTAGGTCAACAACCTACAAACAAAGATCCGCGAAGAAAATGAGATGGTTGAGAAACGCACCCAAGAGACCCTGTCTGAATGGGAGAGAGCTAAACCCGTGGAAGGAGCCCAAAGACCAAATGAAGCACTTGCCGCGCTTACCACCTTTGAGCAGAAAATGGCTAAGCTGTCTGAAGACCGTGAAAAAATGCGCAGAGCCCGTCATGCTCTCGATATGGCTGATCCGACTGGTGTACCTGTTGATGCTGACAAACTTGCCGTTGCTGCTGAGGAACTGGCAGATCTGAAGGGTGTCTGGCAAGCTTTGACACCGATTTATACATCCGTTGATGAGATGAAGGAGAAGACATGGTTGTCGGTACAGCCGCGAAAGCTGCGACAATCGCTGGATGAGCTGATGAATCAGCTGAAGCATCTACCCGTGAAGTACAAGAGCTACAAGAGTTATGAGTATGCAAAGCAGATGATGCACAATTACTCGAAGGTTAGTGCGTTTGCATCATGTAGATGTCGTAGATGTCCTACTAGTCCATTTAGATGAACATGCTTGTGATGGAACTGAAATCTGAAGCACTGAAAGAGCGGCATTGGCGTCAGATGATGAAGGAACTGCGAGTCAACTGGAACTTGTCTGAGCTGACACTTGGCCAGGTAGTATATAGTTAGATTTTGATGTGATGATGATTTCGTTTTTATAACCTTTGGCCTCTTTTTATTCTCATTTCTCTTCAATATTGAGACTTTGGGATTGAAATATGTTTTGTCTAGGTCTGGGATGCTGACCTCCAACGCCATGAGCATGCTATCAAGCAAATCCTTCTGGTTGCTCAAGGAGAGCTTGCATTGGAAGAGTTCTTAAAACAGGTGAGTATTCTACGTTTTCTAATTTGGCTATTGGTTCCATGCAATTTTCTGCTTTTTAGATGAAAGATTTCTGGCAAGCCTACGAAGTGGAGCTTGTCAACTATCAAAATAAGACCAGATTGATTAAAGGATGGGATGAACTGTTCAATAAACTCAAGGAACACCAAAATTCGTTGGCAGCCATGAAACTGTCGCCGTACTACAAGCAGTTCGAAGAGGTTAGCTGGCTAGACTTGATGTTTTCCATAATGGTAGTGTAACCCTTTAGAATGCTTTGTCATGGGAAGAGAAGTTAAACCGTATCAGTGCAATGTTCGATGTATGGATTGATGTACAACGACGTTGGGTGTATCTGGAAGGGCTTTTCTCTGGATCTGCTGATATCGCAACACTGTTGCCAATAGAAAGTGCGAGATTTTCAAGGTAAGGGCTGATTACAAGATTTGTTACTATTGGAAGCTCTTTTATCGTAATGTCAAGACAAACAAGTCATACATTGCTTATTGTGAGATATTCGCTGCGATAATCTCAGTTTCGTGATTGTGTCGGTGATGACTATAGTGATTCAATAAACTACCACCGCTCTATAAGAAATAGCTTTTCAAGCTTCCTCTGCTCAAAATTTAGGAAAGAAATCTTGAAAAATGTTATCTTTCAGCATTTCTACGGAATTCCTCGCCCTCATGAAGAAAGTCACTCAGTCACCGCGTATCCTGGACGTGGTAGGAATGCAAGGAGCCCAGAGGCTCCTAGACAGACTCGCAGACATGCTGTCAAAGATCCAGAAAGCTCTTGGAGAATACCTCGAAAGGGAGAGGGCATCGTTCCCGAGGTACGAAATCTCCATATGAAAAAAGTGTCATGACAAGAGAATGTGTCCTAGGTTCTACTTTGTGGGAGATGAAGATCTGCTTGAGATCATGGGTAACAGCAAGGATGTTGCAAGGCTACAGAAACATCTGAAGAAGATGTTTGCTGGAGTAACTGCCATAGATGTTGGAGAAGAAGATCGCATAGTAAGTAGCAAATATACATCGGCTGTAAAGAAATCACTACAATTTTTTTTGTAGATTACCGCCTTACACAGTCGAGAAGGTGAACGTGTAGACCTTGTACAACCGGTGCATACCAAGGACATAAGAATAAACGACTGGCTAAAGGCGCTGGAAGCAGAGATGAAGCACACTCTAGCGAGGTAAAGAGTTTTTCTGAGTCTCAACTTTTTGAGTCAAAAATGAGAGCTTCTAGATTGTTGGGTATGTCATTACAACACTTCTCAAAGATGGATATCGATACAGTAACTCCGGACGAGTACATGGAATGGTTGGATAAGTTCCCGGTAAGAATTCGCTAATTCGTAGGGTTTCAGTTCATCTATCAGTCTCTCCTTTTTATTTTTGAACAAAATGGAATTTTTACAGGCACAAGTGATTGCTCTCACGGCTGAGATTTGGTGGAGTAATCAAATGGAAATTGCGCTATCCGATGGTAAGGGTGTAGAGGGAGTTGAAAAAGCTGTTTCTGCTACGCTGTCCTTACTGGCTGACTCGGTCTTGAAAGACCAACCACCAATCAGAAGAAAAAAGATCGAAGCCTTGGTGAGCGCTCAGCCTTTGACTGTGTTTCTTATAGGTTTCATCTTGCGAAGATTGTGTGCATTTTCAGATCACTGAGTTTGTACACAAACGTGATACTTGCCGTAAACTAATATCGTCCGAAGTAAAGAGCCCATCAGATTTTGGCTGGCTACAATGTATGAGATTCTACTTCGATCCGAAACAGGTAAGCTTATTTTCTGTGCTTTTCATCTATGACGCGGTAACCTCTTTGTTCTAGCCGGATGCAGTGCGTTGTTGCATAGTGAAAATAGCAAATGCACAGTTCTACTATGGATTTGAGTATCTGGGCATACAAGAGCGCTTAGTTAGGACCCCGCTGACAGACAGATGTTACCTGACAATGACACAAGCATTGCATTCGAGGTAGTGCGATAATTAATGTTTTTTATATGAATGTTTGCAGTTTAAAGTCTTTATAAGGTCAGCATACTTATGCTTGCGCATATCTTGGTGCATCTGCTATACTCTATGTTTGCAGGTTGGGAGGTTCGCCATTTGGTCCTGCTGGTACTGGTAAGACCGAATCAGTGAAAGCCCTGGGTAACCAGCTGGGAAGATTCGTACTGGTATTTAACTGTGACGAAACCTTTGATTTCCAGGTAATCAAAATCAACAAGTAGTTCCTTTGTTTTTGATTCAATTCTATCATCTAGGCCATGGGTCGTATCTTGGTAGGCTTGTGCCAAGTCGGTGCTTGGGGATGCTTCGATGAGTTCAACCGTCTGGAGGAACGTATGCTGTCAGCTGTCTCACAGCAGATTCAGACTATCCAGGTAGAGTACAGTCTGGTAAGATGATGCCGCGGGACTACCCGTGTCATCTTTAGGAAGCTGTGCGAGCAGGTGGCGAGATGACGGTGGATCTAGTTGGAAAACGCTTGAATGTGAATCCCAACATTGGTATCTTCATCACCATGAATCCTGGATATTCTGGAAGATCCAACCTACCTGATAACTTGAAGCAGGTAAGTACTTCAGCTGTAACACTTTAAAGGGTTAACATCTTCTTTCATAGTTGTTCCGAAGCTTGGCTATGACGCAACCTGACAGACAACTGATCGCGCAAGTTATGCTCTTCTCACAAGGTTTCCGAACTGCAGAGACACTCGCCAACAAGATCGTTCCTCTCTTCATGTAAGAAATTCCTGGAGCTCACCCTTTCCAAGTGTCAATATTCTCATTATAGTTTGTGCAAGGAACAATTATCGGCACAATGCCATTACGATTTTGGATTGCGTGCCCTAAAATACGTGCTAGTCTCGGCAGGAAACGTAAAACGTGATAAGCTAGCGAAAGTTGGAGCTGCTGCATTGGAAGATGTTGCTGAACAACAGGTAAGTAAGAGAGGCTGGTTCCCATTGGGTAATATGTTGTCAGGTATGAAGGTGGGGATTTATGTTGTTAGGTATGATAAATGGGGATATTTTTGAAAGGGGAAAATTACCCAGTACTTGCAAGGCAACTGAGCTTTTTTGACCTCTCAAATCTTCGAAAAACAGAACATAGCACACTCTGAACTGAATTTTTTTGTTTTTTCCAAAAAGTTTTTATCATATCTTTCCAGTAACTACCCAAATTAATGTTTTGTTTTTTAGTCCGAGTTTTCGGTGAGTTTTCTCGCTCATCGCTGAGTTGTGTAGTACGTGCCTATCCTTTTTGCTTGAACAAGCTTTCCCAGATTTTATTTTCAGCTGCCTGCAATATTTTGATTTTCATGCATGCGCACCTCAGTCTTGCACAACACCACCCAGTATTTGTTTAGATGCTCATTCAATCTGTCTGTGAAACCCTGGTGCCAAAATTGGTCAGTGAAGATATTGCGCTATTGTTTTCACTATTGTCTGATGTGTTCCCATCTATTCACTACACACCGAACCAGATGCTAGAGTGAGATTTTTGATTTCTCACGGAACTCTAGCACTGTTGAAATGGCCCTTGATCTTCCAGACTGCGTCAGCACATTGCTCAAGTTTGCGACGAGAATATGCTTTGCCATGCGGACACTAGCGGCGAACTGGGTGCAGCCTGGGTTGAGAAAGTCCTACAACTCTACCAGATCACTAACCTCAACCATGGTCTTATGCTTGTTGGTGCCAGTGGAAGCGGAAAGACCATGGCTTGGAAAGTGCTGCTAAAAGCTCTTGAACGACATGAGAAGATTGAAGGAGTCGCGCATGTGATCGACGCTAAAGCGATGAGTAAAGATGCCTTATATGGTGTGCTTGATCCGAATACCAGAGAATGGACAGACGGGTTGTTCACCTCGGTCATCAGGAAGTGAGTGATTTGATTTTTTCTGCACAATTTTTTCCATGGTGCCACATATCAGACCGATTTTTTCTTTGAAATGGATTTTTCTTACAATTAGTAGTTTAGTAGATATCACAACTTACCTGTAAAACATTGCTGATTTATCCGGAAAAAGGTCATGCCTGAAACTTATTGTTCTGTTCAGGATTATTGATAATGTCCGTGGCGAGAGTGAAAAGCGGCAATGGATCATTTTCGATGGTGATGTTGACCCAGAATGGGTAGAAAATCTGAACTCAGTGCTTGACGACAACAAGCTGCTTACCCTGCCGAACGGAGAGCGTCTAGCCATCCCACCAAATGTGAGTGCGAACTTTGGCCCTTCCCTAATTTCTTTTATGCTTTCTCTTATTATGTTTGCTCTAGGTCCGTATCATCTTCGAAGTTGCCGACCTGAAATACGCCACCCTGGCTACCGTATCACGTTGTGGTATGGTCTGGTTTAGTGAGGAAGTCGTGACAACTGAAATGATGTTTGAACAATACCTGAACCGCTTGCGCAACGTTTCCATTGAAAGTGATGCGGTAATCGCGGAAGATGCTGCACCGACACGTTCAGTGACACTCCAGCGCCAAGCTGCAGCGGCACTTCAGTCACACTTCTCACCAGGTCAGACTCTAGATAATCTGGCTACACTATAACAACTCCGATTTTTTTGAAGATGGTCTTGTCCCACTTGCCCTCAACTATGCACTAAACAATCTCGACCACGTCATGGTCCCCACTCAGCAACGTCTGTTATCTTCATTCTTTGCCATGATGAACTACTCAGTGCGCTGCGTGATCAACCATGACGCTAACCAGGGCGATTTCCCACTTGGAGTGAGTTTTCTTTTTTTATTTACGGTACTTTCGAAACCAGTAAAGCTTTTTCTTCAGCCAGACCAAGTTGAGACATATGTGACGAGATCGATGCTGACCAACATGATCTGGGCATTCAGCGGTGATGGAAAATGGAAATGCCGTCAGCAAATGAGCGATTTTATCAGGAATTCGACAACGCTTACCTTACCACCGAATGAACAGGTAAGATTTCATTGGGAGCTATAGATCAGGATTCTTCAATGCTGGTGATATGCTTGTTCAGGCGCCTCTCATTGACTACGATGTGCAGTTGAGCGGTGAGTGGCAACCATGGTTAAGTCGTGTGCCAGTTATGGAAATCGAAGGTAGTTATCCGAAGTTTTTTCTTCCGTCTTTACCGTACTTTATAACGTCACCTACGTTTACCTTTGCAGCTCACCGTGTCGCTGCTGCTGATCTCGTTGTGCCAACCGTTGATACAGTACGCCATGAAATGCTGCTGTCGGCTTGGTTATCTGAACACAAACCATTGGTATTGTGTGGTCCTCCAGGTTCTGGAAAGGTAAGGTGTAGCATCATGCTATTCTGCTTCTTGTATGCTATCGTCTTTCTAATTCGTGAAATCTCCAAAAAAAAAAATTTTCAGACCATGACCCTGTTAGCTGCCCTACGATCTCAACAAGATATGGATGTAGTAAACGTGAACTTTTCATCATCTACTACGCCAGAATTGCTGATGAAGACCTTTGACCATTATTGTGAATACCGTCGCACACCAAATGGCATCGTTTTGGCACCAGTCCAGCTGAGCAGATGGCTGGTTATCTTCTGTGATGAAATCAACTTGCCGTCACCGGATAAGTACGGCACACAGAGAGTGATCAGCTTCTTGAGGCAGTTGGTTGAAATGGTAAGAAAATGTTCTTTTGTTGAGGTGCTTGATCTCACGTCTTCTACCTCCAGAACGGCTTCTATCGTGGCTCCGACCATTCTTGGGTCACTTTGGAACGCATTCAGTTCGTTGGAGCTTGTAACCCACCTACAGATCCTGGTCGACATCCCATGACCCTGCGATTCTTGAGACATGTTCCTGTCGTGTATGTTGATTACCCAGGGCAAACTTCATTGATCCAGATTTACGGAACCTTCAACAGGTATAATTTGAAGTTGGTCCCATAATTATGACTGTTTGTAACCATGTTCTTTCAGAGCTATGCTCAAAACCGTGCCCGCCGTTCGTGGGCTTGCTGACCCGCTCACCAATGCCATGGTTGATGTCTACCTGGCCAGTCAAGTGAGTTCAGAAACATGTGTTCGACTTCTCTGTCCTCTATGTTTTTACCTTTCTTAGGAGCATTTCACCCAAGATGACCAGCCTCACTACGTGTACTCACCTCGTGAACTTACGAGATGGGTCCGTGGTATTTCCGAAGCGATTGCTCCGTTGGATGGAATCACTGCAGAGCAACTTGTGCGACTATGGGCTCATGAAGCTTTGCGGTTGTTCCAAGATCGTTTGGTTACTGAGGAAGAGCGCATATGGACCGATGAACTTGTGGACACGACTGCGGAGAAGTGAGTGTTGTGCTTCTACGAGTTAGAATATGCTTGCACTCCTAAAATCCTTTCTGCTCCAGTCATGTTACCTAAGGTTACAATAACTTCGTGAAATAATTTTAGAACTGTATTTTAAATTCCTGTTCTCAGATACTTTGGTGGAGCATGCAGTGTCAAGGAAGCCGTACGTCGTCCACTTCTATACTCTTGCTGGCTCTCGAAGAACTACGTACCAGTCACAAGGGACGAGCTCAAGGATTACGTTACTGCCAGACTCAAGGCATGTTTCTTTGCGTTTTCGATTTGGGCTCAATTTTTATATCCCATTAACAGGGCTTCTACGAAGAAGAACTTGATGTGCAGCTTGTACTATTTGATCAAATGCTGGATCATGTCCTCCGCATTGACAGGATCTATCGCCAGCCACAAGGCCATTTGCTTCTTATTGGTACTGCTGGAGCCGGGAAGACCACATTGTCGAGATTTGTTGCATGGTTGAATGGTTTGAGCGTCTTCCAGGTATTAAGCTGATCATTTTACCTTGTTTTCAAGCTTCCTTACGCTTGAACTTTCTTAGCTCAAAGTCCACTCCAAATACACTGCCGCTGACTTCGATGAGGATATGCGCACAGTGTTGAGAAGAGCCGGCTGTCGGAATGAAAAAATGTGCTTCATCATGGATGAATCGAATATGTTGGATACTGGATTCTTGGAGAGACTGAATACTTTGCTGGCCAACGGAGAGGTAAGATATTCATTTGATACCACTGTAATAAAGCACAGGAGTTCAGGTTCCTGGTCTATTCGAAGGTGATGAACATACCACACTGATGACGCAGATCAAAGAAGGTGCTCAGAGGCAGGGATTGATGTTGGATAGTCACGATGAGCTCTACAAGTGGTTCACGCTGCAGGTTTGTTATGGAAATGAATTGATCTATTCATCGTTTATAATGTCTTAGGTTCTTGATGTATTAATTTTTAGGTCATGAGGAACTTGCACGTTGTCTTTACCATGAATCCATCCGGAAGTGGCCTCAGGGAACGTGCCTCTACTTCTCCTGCCTTGTTCAATCGTTGTGTGCTGAACTGGTTTGGAGATTGGGCAGATACTTCTCTTTACCAGGCAAGCTTGCTTTGATATGACCTTTTTCAATGTTGGCAACTTTATGTATTTCTGGAAAGAATCTCTGTATCTTTATTTGTTATCCATTTTTCTCACTTTCAATCACTAGGATAGGCTGCGCAGCCTTATTTTCAGCTTAAGTTTTTTGTTTGCATCTATACGCTTTCAGTTCCTTAAATTGTATTAGGAGTTATGCTGTTGTAGGTTGGATCCGAACTCACAAACACCCTGGATATGGATCGTACTGACTATGAACCACCATTCTCTCTGCCAGTCGTTTGTGATCTCATCCCAACTCCTCCAACTTATCGTCATGCTGTCATCAATACTCTTGTCCATGTGCACAAGACTGTGCAAAAACTGAACGAACAGGTAGGTCGCTATGAAATTTCCTTCTTCGGCCTGAAGTCTCCAACTTCTTCTCTTTTTAGGAGCAGAAGCGTGGACATAGAGTGATGCTGGTGACACCGCGACACTTCCTTGACCTGATCAAACACTTCATGAGCTTGTTCCATGAGAAACGACGTGATCTTGAGGAGGAGAAGGTAAGGAAAAAATCTAAAACAACTTCAATGAGCTTCTTATTATACCTTATGTTCAGGTCCATCTTAACATTGGTTTGAATAAGATCCGTGAGACTGAAGAACAAGTGAAAGAACTGCAGAAGAGTCTCACATTGAAGAGCAAAGAGTTGGAGGAGAAGAAAACTGCTGCTAACCTGAAATTGAAGGAAATGTTAGCAGACCAGCAGAAGGCAGAAGATGAGAAACGACTATCTGAACAGCTACAGAAGGAACTGGCTGAACAACTCAAGCAGATCGCAGCGAAGAAGACGGAAGTGCAGAAGGATTTGAGCCAGGTCGAGCCAGCCGTAGAGGAGGCTCAGCAGGCTGTCAAGGGAATCAGAAAGAACCAGCTGGTAGAAGTCAGGTCCATGGCCAGCCCGCCAGTGATGGTCAAACTTGCTCTGGAAGCCATTTGTATCTTGTTGGGAGAAAATGTTGGCACAGACTGGAAGGCAATCCGTGGTGTTATGGTCAAGGACGATTTTATGCCGCGTATCCTTGCTTTTGATACCGATAGCATCACCACGGATATTTTGAAGCAGATGGATAAATATGTTCACAATCCCGATTGGGACTTCGACAAAGTCAACCGTGCATCGCAGGCTTGCGGTCCCATGGTGAAATGGGCCAAGGCTCAACTTCTCTATTCTGGAATGCTGCACAAAGTTGAACCACTCAGGAATGAACTGAAGAGGCTGGAGTCTGACGCCAAGAAGAAGACCACGGAAGGAAATGAAGTGAAGGCAAGAATTGCTCAGTTGGAGCAATCCATCGCTGCATACAAGGAAGAATATGCGCAACTCATTGGCCAAGCTGAAAGCATAAAGATGGACTTGGCAACTGTCCAGGAGAAAGTTGGTCGATCAACCGAACTCTTGTCATCACTCCGATCTGAACGTGATCGTTGGTCTGGTGGATGCGATGGATTTGCGCAGCAGATGGATACCCTTGTGGGAGATGCTCTGTTATCTGGAGCGTTCCTGGCTTATGCTGGTTACTTTGATCAGCAGCTTCGTGATGTTCTGTTCCATCGCTGGATCGACCATGTCCAGGGTGCGGGCGTGAAATTCCGACCAGATTTGGCTAGGATCGAGTATTTGTCCACTGTCGATGAGCGGCTACAATGGCAGAAGAACGCATTGCCGGTTGACGATCTTTGTAGTGAAAATGCTATCATGCTCCATCGCTTTAACCGTTATCCTCTGATCATTGACCCATCTGGACAGGCTGCTGAATACATTATGAAGCAGTTTGCTGGCAGAAATATACAGAAAACGAGCTTTTTGGACGATTCGTTCAGGAAGAACCTTGAATCTGCACTTCGATTTGGAAATTCCCTTCTTGTCCAAGATGTCGAGAGCTACGATCCTATTCTCAATCCTGTACTGAACAGAGAAGTCAAACGCACTGGAGGTCGTGTTCTCATAACCATTGGAGACCAAGACATTGACTTGTCACCAGCATTCCAAATCTTCCTCATTACCAGAGATGCTTCAGTGGAATTCACGCCTGATGTATGTTCTCGTGTGACATTCGTCAACTTCACGGTTACTTCTTCAAGTCTTGCTAGTCAGTGTCTCAACCAAGTGCTCAGAAGTGAGAGGCCTGATGTGGACAAGAAGAGGAGTGACTTACTGAAATTGCAAGGTGAATTTGCTGTACGCTTGAGGCAACTTGAGAAAGCCCTTCTGGCAGCGTTGAATGAAAGCAAAGGAAAGATTCTGGATGATAATTCGGTTATCGGAACGCTTGAGAAGCTGAAGAATGAAGCGTCTGAGGTTGCGAAGAAGGCAGCGGAGACGGATAAGGTTATGGCTGAAGTGGAGACAGTATCGGGACAATATCAACGATTAGCGGCTGCTTGCTCACAGATCTACCACACATTACAGCAATTGAACGAAGTGCACTTCTTGTATCAATATTCGCTTGATTTCCTATTGGATATCTTCACATGTGTGCTGAAATCACCAGAGCTTGCACAGACCCAGGATCACATGCAGAGGCTCAATATCATCACTGCCAATCTGTTCCAAACAGTCTATCGTCGTGTTTCGCGCGGAATGCTTCATGCAGATAAAGTTCTGCTTGCCCTGCTTCTGATGAGGATTTCACTGAGATCCGTTGGCGGAGAGCCTTCGTACGATGCCCAGTGGGATCTACTCCTTGGCCGAAGTGAGCTGTTCGCTTCGAAGAGCGCCCACCAATCTCCACCCACAGCTCTGCCGTTCCTTACTTCGCATCATATGGCTGCCTTGATGAAAGCGCAAAAATTACCTGGTTTCGAGAAAATCCTGGACATTATGTGTGCTAATCCTGAGCAGATTAAGCAATGGATGATGATGGATAATCCGGAAGCTGCTGTGCCAGTGTTGTGGGAGGATCCTGAACAGAAATTGACCACTATAGGAACAGCTATGAATCAGCTAATTGTTGTGCATTGCTTGAGATCTGATCGTTTGATGGCAAGTGCTCACAGATTAGTAGCAGCTGCGTTTGGAGATGGATTCATGCAGCAGGATAAGGTCATTGATCTGAACGATATTATCGAAAATGAAGTGTCATCGTCTGATCCAGTGCTACTCTGTTCAGCCATCGGTTACGATGCATCCGGTAAAATTGAAGATCTTGGAGTACAAACGGGTAAACAGGTTACCTCTATCGCCATCGGTTCCGCTGAAGGATTCAGTCAAGCGGATGCGGCACTCACAGCAGCGTCGAAGTCTGGACGTTGGGTACTGCTCAAGAACGTGCATCTTGCACCACAATGGCTTGGAAATATGGAGAAACGTTTGCACACTCTTAAACCTCATGTCAACTTCCGACTGTTCCTCACAGCCGAAATTCATCCCAAACTGCCTGCTTCAGTACTGCGAGCGTCTCGTCTTGTGGTGTTTGAACCTGCTACGGGTCTCAAAGCAAATCTCCTTCGGTCGTTGTCTGCTCTACCAGCACCTCGTCTTGCTAAGGCTCCAGCTGAACGCAGCAGGCTGTACTTGCTGATTTGCTGGCTGCATGCTTTGGTACAAGAAAGACTGAGGTATACGCCTCTCGGATGGGCGAATGCGTACGAGTTCTCCGATGCTGATCTACGTGTCGCTTGTGACACGCTTGACTCAGCAGTTGATTCTGTGGCACAAGGACGAGCCAATGTGGCGCCAGAGAAGTTGCCATGGACCACTCTAAGAACTTTACTGAGCCAGTGCATCTATGGTGGAAAGATCGATAATCATTTCGATCAGGTACTTATCTTACGTCTCCAATAAATTTCTGATAGTAATTGTAGTGGTTTAGGTGCTTCTGGACTGCATGCTGGAGAGATTGTTCACGGCTAAGAGCTTCGATCCTGAGCATGTTCTTGTGAACAAATTCGACGGAGACAAACCACTATGTACGCCTGATGCAACTCAAAGAGATCAGCTTCTAGCATGGGTTGAAGGAATTAAGAGCCAGCAGGTGCGTATATACCATCGAACGTGCTAGAGCTATGTTTATCTCTGGTAATTTTAGTTACCAGCTTGGCTCGGTCTACCGAATAATGCCGAAAAAGTGCTGTTGACTTTGAGAGGTATGTTATTTGTCTTATGCGTAGCTTATATGATTTTTAGGTTCTTTTGTAATCGTATTTCATTTCCTCGAATTTTTAATGTTTTTGTGTGCATAGAGAAATTAGTCTATATGTTTCCTTGTAGTTCCAAAAACGATAGTTGTAAACTTATCGCCTGTGTATTTTAGGTGAAACTATGCTGAGGAACCTTCTGAAGGTGTCAGATGACGAATTGGCATTTGCTGGAGACGGTGAAAAAGAAGTGAAACCTCAGTGGATGGCTCAATTGGGAGAACTGGCTCAACAATGGCTGAAGTTGCTGCCCAAGGTATATCGTTCATATTCTCTTATTGATTTTGCCTTAAACTTAATCATTTCTAGGACATCACACGAATGAAGCGTACTGTGGACAACATCAAGGATCCCTTGTTCCGATTCTTCGAACGCGAAATAAACCTTGGTGCACAATTGCTTCGCGATATCCGTCACGACTTGGAAGAAATCCTCTCTGTCTGTCGTGCTGAACGCAAACAGAGCAACGAAACACGGGCGCTGGCGTCGGCTTTGCAGAAAGGAGTGGTAAGTGCATTTTCCTTGTTTTTATCTGAAATGCCGAATGCGGTCCTACTTTTTAGGTTCCTAGTAATTGGCTACGCTACACAGTACCGAAAGATGTGACAGTAATGGACTGGATGCTAGACTTCAATGAACGGGTGAAACAGCTGATAAAGATAGGAATTAGTGAGAACATCAAGGTGAATTTTTACAATCAAAAATTCACAGAACAGTACAAAATTGGTATTATTCAGCGCGAGGAAGTATGGCTGGGTGGTACATTCTCACCTGAAGCATATGTGACAGCCACAAGGCAGCAAGTGGCCCAAGCTAACACATGGTCCCTAGAACAACTCCATCTACATGTGACCATAGGAAGAACCGATCGACTAGATGTTGTGAGAATAACAGGTGAATAACATACTTGTTTTTTAATGTAGAATTTGTGCTGTTTTTCACTCTTTTCAATCTTTGAAGGTCATCAGAGCATTTTTTTTTGTATGTGAACGTTGAGTTTACAGGAATGGAAGTACGCGGAGCAGAAAGTATTGGAGGAAATGCACTGAAATTGTCAGATGAAGTGAAGACATCCTGCGATTGTGTTGAATTTTCATGGAAGCAGGTAAATTTCTACCAAACCAAATTGCCTCTACTTGCCTCATTTTTTTAAAACTATATAAATTCTGAACGAGTTTACATTATTAATCTATCGCACGGACCGGCGGTGTTTGCGGCGGCCGCGACGCGCGGTGAAAAGCTGTACCAATACAACTTCTTACTGTAGAAGTTGTCCTCTCGCTCGCGGTAACGATTCAAGCGCATTTCGCTTGCTTTGTTGTAGGACTATATGTACTATATGTCGCCAAAAGGAGGTGGTCCCACGCGGACATCTGCGACAAAGCGCGCAGCTTCACACGCCATAGGCCTATGGCACCTGGCGCGATTCGCCTAAATCGAGACGTTCACGCTACCTGGCAGTTTGCCAGATGTCTCCAATATCGTGTGCGGTCCTGCAACAAATGAGCGCGTAGCTTCTGTGATTTGTTGCAAACGATTGAGTCTCGCCTCACAAAGCGTACTGACGGCCAATCATGAACAGTCGTTCCGTTACTAAATCGCGCAGCGGCTGGAATCGCGTGAGGTGGGCCTTAGGCCGTAGGCACTAAAGATTTGTACCACCTATCCCGAGGGATGGAGCCTGTTGGCGACATGTCCTCTACCGCGTGCTTCACAATGCCGGCCAGTCCGTGCGGTTGATGAATAATGGCCTACGTAATCTATAGCTTCTGTCTAGGAATCTCCGGAAGGCGTTCGCCTACCCTTGTATCTATATGGTGATCGCCGTCAGCTTGTCACTTCACTGGCATTCGCAGTATCACCTGCGACAGCGTTTTATGAAAGAGGAGTCGCTCTTGTTGCCAACGCAGCTTTGAGTTAAATCATAGTCATTGTTAACGTACCCTATTGTTATAACTTTGTAAAGTGCACGAGTTTCGATCAAATCTTCACAGAACTGCTTCGTTTGTACTTGGCTTTATTTATGTACCATTCATAATTTATTCGATTAGTCATAATCAATTCTATCTGCTATGAAATACGGATGCTTGTATCGCGGTGTTCAAGTTTGTGGAGCATGTAATAAATCGAGCTTCTCTTGTGCTTGCGTTTCCATTTAGTCAAGATTTTTATTTTGTTGGCTGATGCTATGGACTGCATATTCGCATATAGTTTGATCACGAAGTTGGAGGCAGACACTGCTAAACTCAAAAAATTGCAATCTTCACCTTACATATCGGTTGGAAAATCTGCAAACAAATATCTACGACATAGAGTTAAGGGGGTTTTTTTGCGGTGAATGTGTCAACAATGATGTACATGTCGGCATGGATCATGCCCAAGATGGTGACGTAGCTGGGGAACTCTTCTTTTCGGTGAGTAATCCACGATCTGATGTTTTTGTTCGCCTTGAGTTTTTCCACTCTCCCTAGCCAGCTTCTCCTTCAGTCCCATTTTAACCTAGAAAAAGAGTTGTAGAATGATGCGACGGCAAGTTATGAAAATTTGAATTGCTTTCAAACTGAGGTTGGGCGGGGCGTAGGCGCGGTGCGATGTGAAGTAAACGAGTAGTTCTGCTTGGACGAGAATACTTGTTTACTTAGAAGAACAAATTTGAGAAATCGACAAGTGTAACACAACAAAAATCTGAGTTTTCGAAATCAATTGCATTTCTCACTATCCGGAATTAGAAAAAACTATGTCACTAACTTACGTCACTAACTAAAAATCGGTATATCGATTAGGGCATGCTGGCTATGGGTCACGGCAGCATTCTAGAAGGTTAAATGAGGAAGTCAAGTTGTGGAAATTTTAAAGAAGGGAGTCTGTTCAAGGAGGACATCATACTTTCAGCTCATCCTCCCACTCCCCCCCCCCCCCCCCTCCTCTCCCTCCCTCTCCGGTAAGGTCTTACTCAACTTTCTTGGCCTCGTTGGTAATAACCAGTTCCCGTCACTTAGGCTATTTTACGTTATACGATTTCAGAGATCATACAAGAAACAAAGTTGATGATAGTCGATAGAGATCAAAATCATAACTATTTCATACTGTCTGTCATATATTTTGAACACCTATAGTACGCTGCATGACTGTAGTTATTTTCATAAAAAGAAGTTTATAGAAATCTGCTTATAAGGGTACGTTTGCTATGCAGTGGTCATCTTGAGTGTATCAATAATAAGAAAATATCTGCATCTCCAAGAAATGTTCCCATATGAGCCATCAACGTGGCTGCGCTGCCTTTCGATCGTTTTGATACGTTAACTCCAGCAAATTAAGTTATTCAAAGTTGGCGTGTTAAAACGATTGAAAGGCAACCGTTATGGTTAATATGTAAACAGTTTCGGGGGATGCATCATATAATCACGCAGTATCTGAAAAAATTTCGGTAGTTTTCCGTTATCCGGACCCATTTTTCAAGGAAAAACTGCTTTTCTTGTAGCAAATTCGGTCAAGATTTCGCAGGATAAAGTAACTTCTCCTTGTCATAAAAATTGACATATCTTCCACATGTTGAAAAGGTTTTATCAAGAACTTCTTTGTAGGTTACCTGCCAATGAAGTTTAATTTATTATTTAATCTTTAAGCGGGGGTAGTCTTGTGGTATGACGGTTTCAACCGGATTGATAGATCACGGATGGAACGACTAATAATTTATCTCAGAAAACGGCAACAAACAACTAGAAACAAGAATGCGTAACTTGAACAAGGCTTAACAACGAAACGACTTTACCCTCTTTGACCACTTGTGCAGGCTTACTGGTCACTCTGCTTTCTATCTAAGGGGGAGGTCCGCCTCTCTTCGACGGATTTAGCTCCCGCTAGCGCTTCCTCAGTGCGGACTGAGACTCCCCCCTGATCCCGGTATTTATACCTGCCGAAGGGGTCAGCGCGGGCTTTTCTTCCCGCCACTGAAGATCGGTAGGTCGGTGATCCGCGCCCTCTAACATCCCTCCCCTCCGAGGAGCCGACGTCCTCGGCGGCTGCTGCAACTTGCTGAGCTTTGCGCCGGGAACTCTCCTGCGGATGACGTCGTAGAGGTATCGCGCATATCCCTCCCTGAAATGCGTGTCGTATACCTGAAAAGAATTCTGGGGTCCACCTGCTCCCATGGTCAATCTCCTATTTTCTGTCCTTGAGGGAGCCAACCTGAACAACCGATTTGGGTTTGTCCATTTTTTTAGTACTGATTCAATCACCGTCCACACTTTTGACTTCGTTTTCCATAGATCAATCTTCTTGAACAATGGTGGCGGCCACACGGATACAATCTTTCCTCCTTCTTCAAGGTACTTCTTGCATACCCGCAATGTCTCAATGATAGCCTCATCCTCCCTCCTACGGTTCATGGGCCATACTATGATCCACAACGACAGTTCTTCAAGTATTTCATCGCTTCATTGAGTTGATTGAATGATACTGCCACCTTGGTCAGTACTCCATACGGTTTCAGCTCAACTTCCTCGAATGATGTTGCACATTTCGGTGCAATAAACGCAACAGGACGTTCCTTCTTAGAACTTTGTCGTTTCTTACTGCCTTCTGAACTTTGACTCCTTTTTGTGCCTCTCCGCACATTTTTCGATCACTTTTGGAAAGGCTGTGCTTCTTGTTACCCATCCTACATGTCGACTTCTTCCACTTGCGCTCACAAGCTTCCTCTGGCCAGATTCCTTTGTCTGCTGACATCTCTTTTTATCTCAATGAAAGTTTTCTTGTTGACAGTTACGGATCTGCCCTTCTCTGACATAGATCTGTTCGCAGTTATAGTACGTTGAATCTTCGCTCTTACTGAGGCGGTATTTCTCTTATGTGGAGGCACTCCTATCCTTTGCTTTTACTTTGACTTCAGGCTTCTTGTGTATCACTACTTCCACCCCTAGACTCGTCAATGCGTTTGTGCCAAAGAGTACTTCCTCATCCATATCGTCGGAAACATGAAAAGCACTTCCTTCTTGCATCCTCCTTGTAGTTCTACTTCTACTTTTACACCTCCGTTAAAGCTCATCTCATGGTTTGATGCGTCGTATATGTTTCCTTCCGCAACGTCGAAAGTCTGAAGTGGCTCGACATCGTACCACTGTTCCTCGCTTCTATAAGCACGCTCACGGGTAGTATACTTATCACTGAGCTCGTGTCTAGAAGTTTCGAAACCTTTCTTCCCAACATTCTCGCTTGAGTCGATGATTTCCTGCCAACAATTCTGTTTAAGTCGGATTGGGAGCTCTTTACGGCCACGTTCCGACTTCTACCATTGGTGTCACTCCATCTGAAGTCTTGATGACGCCTTCCTTCTCCGTTTTCCTGTACTTACAATCTCTCATCACATGTCCAAAGTGACCACAATTGAAGCATCTTTTCTCTTCCTGATACTCATCATAGGCACTCGAGCTACTCGTTGGCTCATGCCTTCTTACATCATCTTCCCTTTCGCCTCTTTCCGCTAAGCTGCTTCGACTTTGCGTCAGCTGGATACCCTTCCTTTTCACTTTCTTTCCTCCAGGACGGAGCTTGCTGTTCACTCCTCCTCTCGAATTTGCAGAATCTTTGCGACTGTTCGATCTCAATCGCGACTTCTTTAATCTTATTATATGCCTCGGCTGGGTCCACTTGGTGTAGGATTCCCACCAGCTGCACGTATTTCGGCCATGACGTCAGATTCTCCAGCAGAATCTGTGCGTACTCCATCGATCCATCCTCAATACTACATTGAGGATTAGCCTTCTTTGCTAGGTTCTCGAGGGCGACACAGAAGTCTGCGACCTCTTCGCCTGGCCTCAAGCGCATGTTCCTCAAGGCCGTAAGCGCCTTCAACCTAGCCGCTGTAGAATCACAGGCCAGTAGTGAGCCCATCTCCCTCACTACTCTGTCGAGGCCTTGCTGTCTTACCCCCATGAATATGCTCAGAAATAAGGACTTTGCCCTTCCTTTCAAGTGTTTATCACCCAAGACCTCTATCAGCAACTGTTCATCCTGGGCCATGGTACCGCACTTTCTTTCGAACTTCCGAATGAATCTGTCAAAGTCCTCATCATCACAGCCCTTGAAGACTCCTGGATCAGGAAAAGTCATGCTCTGAAAATAGCTGAGCAACTGATCTTCCATACCTCGATTGTCGAGTGGTCCGTCATCCGATATCAACAGATTGCCTGAATGCAGAAGGTTTGGCTTCCCTGCGGTACATGAGCGGCATTGTTTCCTCTTCATCACTTCAGTATTCTCAGTACTGTCGGTACCTGTATGCAAACCCTCGGTTTTTTTCCTCCGCATGCATTAACCTGCCGTGACTCAGAAGGCGCAGCTTCCCTCACTGCAACTGCGTTTGCTCTGGGACCGAGTATCTGGTTTAACTCGGACCCAACACTGTGGCCACCTTAGCCTCCAACTCTTCTTCAAGTGGCAATCCATCAACCAATATCCTACATCGGCTAAGGACCTTGCTTATTATCCCAGGTAGCACTTCCACTTCGTTTCTGATGAGGCTTATCTCCTCCATCCACAAGTGTGCTTTTCTCTCATGGATTTCATCTGCACATCCTTGCTTCTGACCCATATCCATGAACACGAATGTACTCGGCAGCGAAATGCTTCGCCTTGTCTTTATATTCATCGCTAATCAACGCCGCACGCGAAATTGCCCGATAATGGGATTATAAAGCCGAAGCAATCAATAAAAATTGTATGGCACTTGCTCTGTATAAAATGATAGAGTTTATTTCCATTTGATCTAAGATCTCGCCTTCTTGGCCTATAACGTATGTCACCTGCTCGATGACGTATAGATTTCCCACCTTTTTGGTCTTTTGGTTTCGCCTTCTTGGCCTGTTCTACGCGTTCTGTGCTGTCTTGCCTCTAAGAAAGTCGATATCAATCGCCCCGTGTGCCTTTCAATCGATCCAGGTATGCTCGGCCCCCACGTAGGTGTCTATTGGTATGAGGTTCCTACCGGATCGATAGATTACACGGATCGAAGACCAATAATTTATCTCAGAAAACGGCAACAAACAACAAGAAACAAGAATGCGGAACTTGAACAAGGCTTAACAACGAAACGACTTTACCTTCTTTGGCTACTTCAGCAAGCTTACTGGTTACTCTCCTCTCTATCTAAGGGGGAGGTCCGCCTCTCTTCGACGGATTTAGCTCCCGCTAGCGCTTCCTCAGCGCGGACTGAGGCCTCCCCTTGACTCCCGGTATTTATACCCTGCCGAAGGGGTCAGTGCGGGCTTTTCTTCCCGCCATTGAAGATCGGTAGGTCGGTTGTCCGCGCCCTCTGACAAATCACAATAACCTTATTTTTATCAACAGTTTCAACATTATCATTCATAGACAAACATCTTATTTCCATTGAATACATTGGATTCTCCCAAAATAGGCAAGTGGAATTGTTTCATCGTCTAAACAACGGAACAAACGGCAGCCATGTACTCTAAGCCAGCATTTGTATTCTTCTCTGGCTAAATTCGCATGGAGGAAACAATTTAATGTGGAAGCTGTTTTCCAAACATTGCTGAAAGCACCAAGATATTGTACTAAACGTTTTGGATTGTTTCTGCTTTCAAAAAAACCATTAAGCTTTTGAGTTATTTCAAACGTTCCCCTCCCCAAAAATGATCTTGAGAAAGAAAATCATGCCAGGGTGAGCTAAACATTGATTTTTTTTCATGAAACATACAGGGGAACAGTCCTCATAAGTTTGAAGAAATCTTCCAATCTAAAGCAAGCACGTAAAGGCTGCTTCACGGTGAAGACGCAATACCTTTGGACGCGATCGCGGCTTTATTAGCCGCAGAGCGCATGAAGCGCAGGATTTACAACGGGAAGGATACGTGCGCGCCGCGTCCGCGCCCGCTCAACTAATGCTACTTCTGCGCCTTCGTCATGCAGTAGCCTTTAACTGTTTCATGGAAATAATCTGAGTCTAGGTTTAGATAACGGAAAAATACCAAGCTTTCTCACCTCCTCGGTCGATATGATGCCATTGTTATTTCCCTTTGAAGAAATACGATTGCTAGCCTAAAAATGTGTGAAAGGAGTATTACACAGATTACAGGCATTATCGAAGCAAGAACTTACCGCGGACATTTCGAAAATTATTGAAATCAGCAGTGACGAAACAAGCAAGCCTTTGCTGTTCATATCTATCGAACGCATGCCAAGCCATTATCAGCGAAGCCTCTGTGTGCAAAGCTATTGAGTCACGTTACCATATTTTCTGTTTATAAGAAAAAGTTCAGAATGACTCATTCCCTCACGATCAGTTTGGTACTACACCTCGAGCCATCTAGAGTTCCAGCTATCGTTGCATTCTTCGTCATCCATTATTCGGACATATTGAAAGACTACAAGCATTCAGTCGCCGCTATATCAGTTCGCCTTCTGAGGAGAAAAAACGCAGTTTCTTGTTTTTGTTGCTCGCCAAACGTTTGTATAATACCGCTCGCAGTTGTTGAAAAAACGACCAAGTCGCCCGATTTATGTAACATCACCGTAGCGTAGCCATATCTCGCTTCAGAATGGGCGAATTCTTAAATGGCACATTACTCTGCTCGGCGCAGCACATCTTCAGATATATAGAAGTGCCTGTTTGGATATAGTAGGAGGCCAATTCCTCAAATCGCTTCAAAGTTTTGCTTACGGTAGGTTGCCCATGGAGTGTAATGAATACGCACAGCGAGTTACTGTACGCAGAAATCTGAAACCATTCGTGGAACCTAACCTTCTACTTCTACTTTGTCTTTGCACTTCTTAATATATATACCGTGGGTTGAGAATCCGTCCACTCTGAAGCGACTGGCCATGAAACGGTGATGTCTATCCGAGTGCGTCGTTTTTTCAACAACTGCGAGCGGTGTTGTGATTGCTTTATCACAAGGAATTTGTCTTGAGATTTCCTTTTGCAGAGGCTAACAAACATAGCCTTTTAAGAAATCTGTTTTCGTAAATTATGGTATAGGGGCCTGCATGATCGCGAGAGTCGGACGTGCGTACGGCCACTGCGCCGCTTCGACAGGTTCACTCGGTTCACTCCTCTCTGCTATTGGTTGTGCATTGATTTAACCAATATCATTTTGCTGGCAAAAGGAGGCATGGGTACATCTCCATGGATCACTTTATTCAATTCTGATAACTACCCTATTTTCAGGTGTATAAGCCGCACCCTTTTTGCTCTAAACGCGAGCAGGCCCAGGCGTGCCGCCGCGCGTATGTCTCGCGGAGCGGTCGCCTTATCGCATACTGCTCTCACTTAACGCGCTCCATGATGACAGTCAGTCTTTTGGCGTGTTCGCCTTTAGAGCGAAGGGGGTGTGGCTTATACACCTGAAAATAGGGTATAATTATAGAGCAGTCAAATACAAGCTTTCATCACACTTTTATCCAGATTGGACCAACTTACATGATGCATTAACATTGCGGCTAGAGTATGAATAACTATGTATTTTTTGTTCGTTTGTAAAGAACGCTAATAGCATATTGAATAAATAAATAAATAAATAAATAAATAAACAAATAAAATATGTGATAAGCCACTTCTAAGTAAGTGATACGGGAGCAGTATTAAGGTGCTCCTTCAAGTAACTTTCATTGCAATACTTTGTATTACAATGAAAAAATCAGACGCTTTTAGCAAGAAGTGCAAAGTTTTCTTTGTGTTTGGGCTTAGAGCGTTCATCCATTGATTTGATTACAAGATCCGTTTACGGATCCAAACATGACAGCGATGTTAAAGAAACCAGATGTTGGAAAGTCACTTGTAAAAAGTCGAAACTACTCAGACAATCGCTGGGGGCAGGCGGACACCGGAAAAATAGATTGCTGATTTCTCGCACCCCGCTCGCGGATTTTTTGGAAAGCAATCAGGACTTTTCGGAAGGCCGCTTGCTGAGTCAGCGGATTTTTGAGAGACCGCCTGTTGAATTTTTTTCGCTCTTATCTTTTGCAGATATATTGCTGAATCTCTGAGGAATCGAGAACTCAGCAAGCGGCCTTCCGAAAAGTTCTGATTGCTTTCCAAAAAATCCGCGAGCGGGGTGCGAGAGATCAGCAATCTATTTTTCCGGTGCCCGCCTGCCCCCGGCGATTCTCTGAGTATGCGACAATGCTTTCTTGCGTCTTTGAAAAGATAAATATGGTAAATCAGCATTACCTCTTCAAATAACTTACCGTTTACTAAGAATCTTGCGTATATGCAGCCAAGTGTGAGTGTAGAATTTGATGATGTTCTTTGTGTAACACTAGAGGCAGTGTGTTGGCAGAATTTCGTTTTCGTTTTTCACTTTTTCGGAGCGTTCTCGCCACGAGGAATCAGTACCTGGGTTTTCAGCGCATGAATATGGTAAACATAGGTGCGATAAGGTGAGAATGACTCCTTCAGGGTGGAGGGGATCACAGTGGTCGCATTCTCTCCAGGTTGAAAGGTGTTTCACTTGGTAGAGAAATTATAAAATATCGACCGGGGGGGGGGGGGGGAGGGAGCCATGGTGTTGTCTCATCATTTTTCCTAATCAAAGTTTATAATTTTTTCATTTCCTTGAAATCACTAGTTTCTTTTTTCTGAAATGTGAACCGATGTGCTGCTAGATTAGCACACGATTATAATTCTGACCAGCACCTCGTATTTTTTACACTTCCCTTTCTTTTTTTACATCACTCTGCCTGTTTCTGAAATTATCATAGAAGATGTGCATGCGAGAAGATTTGTTTCGGAAAGTGTTAGACAATTTTCAAGTATTTACGATTTTTTTAAAAGAAAGAATTTATAACTGCTGTAGATGAACAGCAACGTCAGCAAGGAAATTGTCTTCAGAACCGTTCCGTCCTCCTCTTTCAGAAAATATATAGAACGTCTGAGATCCGTTCAATAAGTGCCTGGGTGAAGGGTGTCCTAGTGACTTTTGGGAATTTTCGAGTTTTTAAAATAAAAAAATTCATAACTTTTGTAAATGAATATCTTATACGCCGTGATGGTCACCATTAGAACCGTCTCGTCCTCCACTTTCTTTTTGCTTGGGGTCCGCTAGAAAAAGCGCCAGGAAGGTTAGTTGAGACGTTTATAATGGGAGTGCTCAAGTAGACGTCTTCTTACAATGGTAAAAAGCTTCTACTTGAGCACTCCCATTGAAAAAGTCCCAACCACCTTTCACCCGGCACTTTTTGTAATGAGCCCCAGGCAAAGCATATACTTTCTGAAAGCGGAGGACGAGACGGTTCCAATAGTGACCATCCCGGCGCACACGATATTCATCTACAAAAGTTATGAATTTTTTTATGTTAAAAACTCGAAAATCTCCAGAAATTACCAGGACACCCTTCACCCAGGCACTTTTTTGAACCGATCTCACATGCTGTAAATTATCTGAAGGCGGAGAACGAGGCGGTCTGCCTACAGATAAGTGCTTTCTTTCCGTTATAACTGCCCTGAAATCTTGTCAGATAAGTCCGAAGACTTTCAGATAAGTCCAGACTTATCTGTAGGTGGACTTATCTGAGGGAGGATTTATCTGCAAGATTCTTGGCGTGCGAGGGTGCATTTTCATCGGTTTTTCGTGTCAAAAAAGCGGACTTATCTGCAAGATTTTAGGGTACTCGTGTTCCCCATTGAATGCGGATCTGGAAAGCTTCGGAAAAAGCTCATTTTCGCTATTTCCACGCGCTGTAAAGCCCAGATATGGATTTCTCATGGCGAAGAGCTCCGAAAAGGTGAATTCGTAAAGGAAATTGTTCCAAGACACTGCCTTTAAAGGCAGTAAATCGGCAGAATGGACCTCTGTCAGATTTTGTAGTTTCGGGTAGTTATTCTCCATGTACACAGTGGCCCCAACCCCACATCCCATCCCGCCCCAATTCATGCGCTAAGTCCTGTTAAAGACCTTCAAAACTCCACCATCCCCGCCCACATGCATCGAGTGGGCGTCATTGGTGAGTTTTGAAACTCTTTTTTCAGAACATAGCGCGTGAATTGGATGGTGAGATTCGGGCTACGATGTACTTGGAGGGTATACTGCCTAAAACTACCAAAATCTGACGGGGGTCCATTCTGCTGATCCACTGCTTTCAAGCAATCATAAACGCAAAGTTAGGAGGAATTATTACACAACTGCGAATTTTACTTCTAAGCGCCAAGTGACACAACATTTCTATATGTCCTACTAGAGCAAATTACCGAGTGGTTTTGAACGAAGGTTTCTATCAGAAATCTCTGATTACGTCCTTTTGAAGTAGACTTTCGGGCGGAACTCATAATCCTATCGGTGCAATTACGTAATGTCCAGACAGCAGCTCTTTTTCATGCTAAGCTAATGGAGTTCAAATTAAGTTAAATTGTTTGCTGATTACAATGTCATCACGCAAGATTAGAGGTTGATTTATTTTATTTTTCGTTTTATTTCGGTACACTTAGAAATTCTTCCATAAGCAACTTAGGAGCAGTTAGTACCGGTTAGCGGTTGAACATAACATGGCACGGTGAACGTCAGCATGTTGAGAAACTAGAAATGCCTCAAAAAATGAAGTACATTTGAAAGTACAAGCATATGTAAGAGAGGGGAATTACTTGTTAAAAATTTGATAATGTTTCGTTGAAAGAAAGCTTCATATGTGACTAAGCAAATGTATAGGAGAGGTAAGCAGTAGTGCTAATGAGAGGGAGAATGAACATTCGGTCAGCAACTTCAGGGCACCACACTCAAGTAATATTTTTAAATTTTTAAAAATGAAGTACATCTGCTCCCTTTAAAGCAGCAGTTAAGCAACAGTGCAAAGACAAGAATGGGCGTCAATTTGTTCAGAGGCTGTCCCGAGAAGAAATTTTTATGTTACAGCGGAATGTTGTACCTTGCAAACCTAAAAATTGTCAAGTTCCATGAAGCTTTGCTTGCTTAAAAGTCTTCTGTAGAAAAGAGCAAACAATTCGCATTCTCGTTTTACAGTCAGGTAGGGCAAAAGAATAGTTTGGGCTAATTGCACGAGAAAGCACACTCTTTGCAAGACTTCTCTAAATTTTCTCGACTTTCTCGCTGTTTTTAAGAACATACGGCAGTAACACCAAGCACAATAAAAGCATCAATAGTAGTATTCACTTCGCCAATTCATAGTATCGTCTGTAAATCTGATGACAGACGGCTGAAGCTACCTAAACTGTGATGGAAACTTCAAAACATACAACAATAAGTATCATGAAAAATTGCCCCTATTCGCTGCTATAAAACACAGAAATTATAAGATTTGTTCCTTAAAACAATGTACCGGCAGTTTCGCACCCTAGTGGATAGCTGTTGTGAAGTTCCCGGTCACCCCACTAGCCTCCAGGCCCAGTCGTGTTGGTTAGAGTTCCCTCTGTGCCCAGAAAATAGCCCTCGACGCGGAGAGCGCAAACCCAATCGGCGCGCGCTCGCGCTCGCTTACATGTTCGGCGCGGGACCCCAACCGCTCCCGCATTTTTCATGCTAAAGGAATCAAAAATTATAGGCAGGGTCTTCCAAGGCCTCCCAACTTTCCATTGCAACTCTCGTCCGAGCTTTCTCTTGATTGGGTAAACAAAAATGGTCGGTACTATTCCACATTAGTTGACCCAAAAAATGAAAATTGTGGATTTCGCTAAAACTTCGTCTAGGGGGGTATGTTATTTGGTATGCTAAACACGAATATGATGTTTATTTCGTGCGACAGCGCCATCCGGTGGAGTTACGGTAGAAGTACCGTAGGGGGTCAAAATTACGGATTTGCCCGAAAGTCGGCCCAGAGGGGTTATTCAGCCCGCTGATGCCAAATATCACATTGGTTTTGAAACGTAGCGTCATTTTCTCGGGTTACGGTAGCTACATGGTAACGGGTGTAAAACATAGTTCTGCCTGAAACGGGTGTACGGCGATTTGGACGATCGTGAAGCTTTGCACGCACGACCATCGCCGCGCTCTATACGCCCTGCTGCGGCTTTTGCCCAAGCAAAGCACAGGGGAAGATATAGGCGCCGTAAAACCTAATTGCCCACGCCGTGCCTTGAACACCAGCGTAAGCGAGCGGTCGTCGCGAACGACTGTCGGCGTTCACTATTTTCCAGGAAATCTTTCTCTAACTTTCATGTTGTTCTCGTCAATGCAAGGTATATCTTGACGAAAGCTCCCTTTTCACAAGTTTAGAAAAAATATGTGTGAAAAGGGTGCGCGCTCATTGTCACTCGCAAAAAGCCTGCGGCTCTTCGGGACCAAACGTTCCCAGCCACGCCGCGCGTTGGTGTTCAAAGCGATGCGTGGGCAATTGGATTTTACGGGGCCTGTACATTTGCTGATCTGTGATCTTGACCCCTACCGTAAACCTACCGTAACCACGCAGGGAGACGTTTTCGTGCGGAGAAAGTGTGGCATTTCTAATCAGCATGTCGAATGTGCCCTCTGTGCGAAGTTACAGTGGATTTTGGGATTTTGACCCCCTGCCGTAATCCTACCGTAACTCCACCGGATGGTGCTGTCGCATGAAATAAACATCAAGTTCGTGTTCAGCGTACCAAATAACCTCCCTAGACGAAGTTTTAGCGAAATTCACGGTTTTCATTTTTTGGGTCAACTAATGTGGAATAGCGCCAAATGGTCTTTTCACCCGGTGCAAAACTCACATTTGGATTCTACTGTCGAAAAGGTCTAAAACATATAGAAAGGTGGAAATGCAAAATCTGCCGAGACACTGCCCTTGATAGCAGCAATTCCCATCATTTCCCTGCTGCTGAAGGCTAATTCACTCCCTTGCAGTCATACCTTCGATAGTCTAGAGACAGGGCGCCAAAAGTGAAGGTTGTTTGGACATCTGACGTCATAGATAGTGAAGGTTGTTTGAAGAAAATCAGAGAAGAGAAATGACGTAGAACACATATAAAAAGCAAAAGAAACTGCTGTAAACCGGATAAAAACGCTGCAATAAGGTTTGGAGTCTTTCATTTGGCGGCTTTTTAGAGTGCAAGTTTTCGTTCCAGGACCAGAAATTCGCAACACGGGGTTTTAATTTTTGATGCGTCCTTTGAATTTTTACCCCCTCATTGACGTTCCTGTTTCCTGGGACGTTATCTGGATTGTTGCGCTTGTTGTTCTGAGCAGCAATCGCCCAAGCTGGAAAAAAATAGCTGCGAAAGCACTGAAATAGAACAAAGCAAAGAAAAACGCACTTTTTACGATTTTCGCAAAAAATTTCACCATAGTCGAAGAGGTAAGGGCTGGGTGGTTGTCTGCATTATGAACAGCAGCAAGTCCTATAGAATGCACGAAAAAACCGCATGAAAAGAGTTGAACTGGGAGAAAAACAAGGGATTTTCGAAATCAAGGTTTTTGCCGGATTTCTCGACCAAATCGAAAAATGTGGTTTTGGGACGTTGTCAGCGTAAAAATAGAGATCAAGAGCTTCAAAATGATATATAGCTTGTTAAAATTGGGTTCGAAACAGCGAAGAAAAGGGTACCAGAGCCAAATGCCCCGCGCCCCGCGTTTGGGGTAGCGAGGTAGCGCGCAGCGCGCGGAGACGCAGACGAGCAGCGGAGACAGACCAGAGCCGACGGAGCATTTGGCTCTGGTCGTAGATCTCAGCGGGGTCTCAACGAAACCTTGCAACATTATATATCATTCTGATCGTCATGACACGACGAGGAGAACTGACAACGTCCCAAGCTTTGAAAATCATTCATCAACGAGATAGACCAGCGTATTCGTGCGCGACCCTTTGCGCAAGATTTATGCGCAGTTTCTTGTTTTTATTTAACTTCAATAGCTTTCCTAAACTTCTGAAACTCTATTTTGGTCAAATGAGAGGTAACTGAGAAATTTGGTCTTGAATTCTGGCGAAAATTCCACAGAAACCTTCTTTTTAACGCAAAAAAGGCTATGAAAACGCAATTCTCGGTTTCGCTCAGATAAACCAAAGATATTATTCCCTATATTTGCTTCTAACACTCGTCCCGATATAGTCAGGATAATAACATCCGGGGCTTCGCCTCGGATGACTTCTGTTTTTTTCCAGGTGAAGGTTGTGTTCCCTCATAGCCCTCAAAGTGAAGGTTACCAGAGTACGTGGCTCTATGTATCGAGGGTATGCTTGCAGTCAAACACATTTTTTTTTGTATTCTTAGTTCAATACGTGTGGAAATGGTTGATGGCAAAGAACTGAAACTAAGTTTACCGTTTACGTTACTTTCACTCAAATTACCGTCCTCATCCCGCTCGCGCCACCCATTCCGCTGCACTTTGCTGGCTGAACATAAAAAATGATAAGTTCACTTTGCTACTAGCGAGCGGTCACAGCTAGTTCCACCTCTACCTAAACATATTACTGTTTTTGTAATTGTCGGTCCGCTCTCTCGGACAACTTTGAGGACGGTTGCAAAAGCGCCGATCGCGGCAAAAAGGCAAACATTACATGTTTTACGGTTTCTTGTCTTTGCAATACAGTTCGAAATATTGTAAGTGCATTGTCTTATCTAACATTGAAGAGTATAAAAGAAGAAGTGACTACAGTTCGAGAGTCGGTGCGGATATGTCAGTCGAAAAGCATATCGTAATCGTATCGTCGGCTTTTGCGCTATCTTCTATGATCGCATGCCTTGTAGTCATTCCATCATTGTACAACGAAATAACTGAGGTACACGACATGGTGAGTTTGCAATATTTTCAAAAAGCGTACGAAATCTGTATGGTGAAGGGGGTCCCTTAATTCTCGCTGTAATGTCGTGTTTTCCTAGCTTTATATACGAAGTGCAACAAAATGTCGATCACCCTTAAAAACTGCCTTGTATGAGTTGATTTTCTCAACTTTAGAGTTGGCTTAAACTTAGACTTATGGTATAGAGCGGACAGTGCGGAAAAATCAGCGATCTCTTTATGACTGTAGGATTACGATAAAACTTTGAAGAAGATCAGCTGTGGGCCCTAGGCCCTCCCATATCTTTGGCTTGCATGTCTTCGTCATTATGTAGCCTTTTCGTGGTCTGATTCCAGATATAAAGTGCAAAATGTGGGCATCCCCCAAAAGTCTTTGGGAACAATACCATGCACGCTGGACAACTTCCAGTGCCTGTGTGGGCGGAGCTTGATGAAGTGGGTGTGGCTTGATAGCACCTTCCTGATTCCAAGTCCGTTTCCTTTTTTAGTGCCATGTTAGAGGACCGGACTAACGTATATGGCTCATTCCTAGGACCTGCTTGTAGACTGGATACTCATTCGAGCAGCATAGATCTAAATAGCTTGAACGCTGTTTTTATAAAGTCAATATGCGTGTAAATGGTTTAGAACTTCTCATTTTCTAGAAATCTTCGAAACGGCGGCCTGTTCATATTAGCGCTGTACGACAGAAGTTTCGATTCTAACCTAATGATGAGGGAGCGGTGATTTGCACCATACTATAAATCTGAGTTGAAGTCAGCGCTGCTATATAGCGTTTGAAGCTTCTTTTTTTTAAGGGACTCTCCCTAGATCAGACGTTCCATACGTTTTTGAGACATTGTGTCATATATGTGTTTGAGTGTCCCATAATTTTTCACCGTTTCTACTTTTTCCCGCTATGACTCACATTCCTCTTGTTTTTTGAACTTCGCGATACCCGGCAGATCAAAGCAAGCTTTACGAGATAGCACTCAAACTGCCCAAAGTTTTTTTTCATATAAAGTTCAAAGCCGAGATCTAAAAAGACCTAAATGTCCGAGAAGTCAGAATTGTATCTGTTTTTGAAAAATCATTATCGGCTTCCTTTCTGCCCGACATTTATGCGCACATCTGCTTGTTTTCATGGCTAAAAATAGAGACAAGAAATTTTGCCAAAGCTGCAGCCGGCTGCTTCCACACATAGGTAATCTAATTCCTTCGGAAATATAATAATAAGTTCTTGGTCCTTTACAGGCAGCAGTTTATGAGAAATCTTAAATTTAGCGCAAAAAAAAAACGCGAAGAAAACGACTTTTCGACGTGTTTTTGGTTTATTTTCGGTATGTTCCTCGAGATTTAACCATTGAAAAAAAGAGTAAATTTGCTGGTAAATACCATTTCTAGAAAATGCATGCACGAGCAAGTAAGAAGCTCGTGAAACTTTTTAAAAATGGAGATAAAAATTTCTCTCGACTTTTTGGGCATTTTCATCTTTTAGAAGTAGAAATTATGGGAAATCCTAGTACATGTTTCCATGCAAGCTGCAAGACTCATGTAATCGCGAAAGTTTAGTAGGTATCGCTTCAACTCATAAACCCTTGGCAATACCATGTGAACCTGAATATATTTGCAGCATTAGCAAGGAAGGCTAAAAATGTTTATTGTGATAGAAGAATGAGAGCCACGACGGCAGGCTAGTTGAAGATTCCCATCAGTAATTATTATTTCGCACTTGTTCAGATTTCGTGGAAATGGGACAAAACAAATAATTGTTATTCTTTCGAAGTGCGGAACTTTAACAGAACAGAAACTCACAAAAAAAGACTTCTTCTCGCTCTCGCGCGTCCCTGTACCTGTGACTTAGCATCCTTCTTAGTTTCATTGTCGTTTTTTTTACAAAGGAAACCTCTGGCTTTTTCACCGGAAAAGAAGCGCTTCTCTCGTGACCAGTTTAACTGGCAAAGGCATTCAGGTACTTGATGCAGTGGCGGCTTTCCGAATAGAGACGGATTCTGCTTGGGTCGAGATGATGGAGGTGCAAGTCATGGTCACTCCGCCGACGCGAGCACCAAAAAATCCATTCAGCTCTTTCTTTCGCCCGAAGAGGCAGATGTTCGCTGGCCTACCAGCGTGGTGCCATTGTGAGCCAGAAACTATCACATGTCCTCCTGGGCCTCCAGGTCCACCTGGACAGCCTGGAATGCCAGGTGAGTAGTATTTGAGGAATGCTGTTTGAACGACACTCATACTCCTTCAACTTTTCAGGAAATCCTGGACCACCAGGACCACCGGGTCAAGACGATATGACCGTTTATGCACCAATTCATTGCCCACCGCCTGACCATGCATGTGTCAGATGCCCACCAGGGCCGGCAGGTCCCCCTGGACCCGACGGACCTCCAGGAAATCCCGGGATGGACGGTAGGCCTGGAAGTCCGGGGACCCGTGGGAAGAACGGTCCACCTGGACCAGCAGGACCTCCAGGTGAAGCTGGACAAGCTGGCCATCCAGGCATGGACGGTCGACCGGGAGCACCTGGAATGGATGGAAGGAAGGGTGTGGGACAGCCTGGAATGCCAGGACCTCCGGGGCCACGCGGTGAGATGGGTAAAACTGGACCTAGTGGCAAAGACGGCGAACCTGGTCGAGCGGGTCCTCAAGGACCTCCAGGACAGCCTGGTATGCCGGGAACGCGAGGAAGTGATGGACACCCGGGTTCAAGTGGAATGCCTGGACCACCGGGAAAAGATGCGCATTATTGCCCTTGTCCACGTCGCAGTCATATGCGCAGAAGGAAGAAGAAGTTCTTTTAAGTGCGCTCAATTTGGTTGTTAAAGATGTTGATGATAGTGTATGAACTGCATTCAATAACATGCTGCCATAACCAAACAATCTTCTGAAATACCAGCTATCATAAGGTTACTTTATGAATCTATAAATAAATACATACAGAATTTTTGCATGCTTAATGCGGTATCTTTTTTGTCAATTATATGTTCACCAAAAACTGTAAGAAACATAATTTTTGCGACTAGTGCCATTTGTTCTGTTTCGGAGTGGTGAAGTCGATGCAGTGGATATGTATGGCATGGTCTGAGCAAGGTTTGCAGTAATTATTCTTTCTAAGAGTTAAGATTTAAAAAAAAAACGATGGAAGCAGCTACGCATCTCAAAAAATATAACAATGAAGGAAACTAATCAGCGCAGCTCTGCTGCAAGATGGTTATTACAACATTCGAGAATATTTGGCGAGCATGCTTCATATCACCATCTCTCATTTTTCTTTTCAGCCTTTCTCTCTGCAACTTATGTAAACTCAGACAGCGGATAGGACCCCTCCGCCGGAGAAATGGCAGGGTCGCGGCGTATCCCCAGCGGTGGGTCTCCCATTTGTCCGGCGGAGCCCTCCCATTTCTCCGGCGGAGACCTCCCATTTCTGCTCCGGATACCTCCCATTTTCTGCTCCGGAGACCTCCCATCTTCTGCTCCGGATACCCCCCATTTTCTGCTCCGGATACCCCCCCATTTTCTGCTCCGGATACCTCCCATTTTCTGCTCCGGAGCCCCCCGATTTTGTGCGCCGGAGCCCCCCGATCGCGGCATACTGTAATTAGTCCTAATTAAAGGCAGCTTCCAGGCAGATCTGGACCTATGGGGCTTTTACATGGAAAGTATTTTTGGGGCCCTAACTAAGGCACTGCCGAAGCAGCAGTTCAGGTAGTGCTCTAATGGCGAAGATATTCCCCTCGAAACAGACCCCCCGCGAACGTATTCGCATGGATTCATGGCAGTTTCGCGCCAGGATCCACGCTTTGCGCCATGAATCCATGCGAAACACGGTCGCGGGGTCCGGTTTCGAGCAGAATATCTCAGGCGTTAGAGCACTACTTGAGCTGCCGGTTGGGTAATGGCTTAGTTAGGGCCCCAAAAGTACTTTCCATGTAAAATACCCATAGGTCCAGACTTGCCTGGACGCTGCCTTTAAGCTCCAAACCCCAATTTTGTCTCTAAACCCCACCCAAATAAGCCGAATAGGACCCCCCCCCCCGGGTAGGAGTTTAGCGCGACCCTCACCCCGTACTCTACCCCCTCCCTCTCACCCCTAGCGTTTGTGGATAGAAGATAGAAGAAAGAACGAAGAGATAAAACATTTAATTCAAATTTATCAAACCTTCGAAAAATCTATCTATCTATCTCCAGCATACGTACAACAGTTAATTCATATTACAAAAACCATACTAGGAGTTAGAGATGGCGCCATCTATTCCTACCGGGCTGGCTGCGCGGGCGGTTCGCGCGCGGCACCCGTGAGTAGCATTGGGGCGCGCATTGGATGGATATGAAAATGTCATGTGCGCTTTTCATCGGCTCAAATGTGCAAACGAAGATTCTCGCGCATATCGCAGAATAACGAAGGATGTATGCGTTGCGATGTTGGTGAATTGGCTTCCACTTCAGTAGCCGCTGCGCTGATTTACTGCTACTTCTTGGACTAGTATGTGGTCGAAGATACCCAACACCTCCTCAGTGAGCCTATTCGGTTTTTTGGAACTTATTGCTTTTCTGCATATGAAAAGGTTAGAGAACGTTGTGCGTTTAACGATTTCGATTTATTGGCCTCTTCCTGGAATAGCGAATCCGATTCTTTTCCAGTGATCCATAGGTACTTGTAAGCGTCAACATCAGTTGTGGGTCACTGATCCATGGTAAGAGTATGCCTCAAGACTAGTCTTACAAACTTATAGGTTCACTATCAAGCCAACATAATTCCATTATGCAGGAATGCTTCATGAATAGATAAGGAGGTCAGAAAGTGTATAAGAACGCTAGCGTCGCCTACATTTCGACATCAGGTTTTGGTCAAATTCCATTAAGATACCTTCGAGTAGCTTGTTAGCATCGCCTTTTTGGATTCATATAGTTCTGCTCGCAGCTGAAGAGAAAACGGCTAATGCTCACCAATAAGAATCACTGATTGTTACAAAATATACAACTTAGCCAAACTTTAGATGAACTGACACTGCAACAAATGTCCTGGATGACTTCGAACTTTACGTTTGTGTGTTCTTCGCACTAACTACTCTCTAACAGATATATCCGTTATGGATTCGTAAAAGTCGTGTCAGAAGCGTTCGTGAAAAAGCAAAGTATTGCTTGATGGACAATCCTTCAAGAATCTATCTAGCTGGTCGGTATCACTTATGAAACCGTAAAGTATAGCAAGCAACGACAGCATCAAAATCTACTGTATGACTACATCGGTGACTACATCGAAAACCTTACGCACCAAATTCCAACAAACAAGACAAGATATCCACTAGACCTTACGGTAGAACATACGCAAGTAATCTCACTTGTGATATGGAAATTTGGTACACCGTCGTAATGGGACCTTATTAGCGAAAGTGAGCTTACTCCCATGACTTTGGAAAGGTTTTTCTTGTTATCAAGAGACTTAACAACAAGAAACACAGCACAAGTGCGGCTCAAAATCAGTGAGTTGAAATAAGTATCCAGTCAATTAACCTCTAAGCAACAAAGCAAAGAAATCCTCGAAAAATGAGGTATTAGAGGTAATCTTGGGAGAACGGTGTGACAGACAAATGAATGTCTCTATAATATAATCTTCTTGCCTTTAGCTGACTTCTTATACGTTTTGGAGCGAAAGTCCTCCTCAGTACGCCTGGATCGAGAGAGTATCTGATCCAACGTTGCAATCATAAGAAGGAATGCGCGCTCCACGCTATACGGGTGCCGCGCGCGAACCGCTCGCGCAGCCAGCCCGGTAGGAATAGATGGCGCCGTTAGAGATAAGAATATTCAAAGAAAAACAATTTCCTAGTTGCAAAAAGAACCTTGTAACACCACAGTATAAGCATATGGTTTTAACATGGTAAGAAAATGACAAAAAGATCAAAAAAGCATTCTGTGCAACATGAAACAAAACAGCGAGGAACGCCATAAACTCACATTTGCAAAGCAGGGACATATTGTCCAAGTGCGATATATACATGAGCTATATTCATCCAAACATCTTCGAATTCCGAGGTCCAAGGCCATACTGGGGCAAAACGAAAGTAGGATGATTCAACGTAGTTGCTTGATAATAGTACTAGGACACGATGATGACATGGATTGAAATTCTTGCATATGCAACTTACCTTGAACGCCTTTTCATAGTCTCTGTTGAAATGGAAAAACCGCGCAAGAATGTAACAAGCTTCGGCCTTGACTTCGTCACTTTCCGTCATACTCATTGCATGCCACGCTAACCGTTCAACCTTGTTCATTTCCTGAAAAAGTGATGCCTTCAGATAAAGCGATAAGCACCTCGATGTAACAGCTTGGACAAATTTAAAAGGTCCCTTTTATAGATAATTCGTAATTAATTCAAAGAATTTCTGCACTGACTCCTTTGAAGAAGAAGTGGTTGGCAAGATGGACCAAGACAACCGGATTCTCCGGCTCCAGACTATACGCTTGGCCTAGACAAGCCACTGCACTTTGGGCTCCCTCGACAGTATGCGTATTGTAATCCAAAATGGCAAGTGCTGAGAGAGCACAAACATTGTCATTTTGCAATTCCAACGCTCGTTCAAAAGCGATTCTGCAAATTGTAATTGAAAGTCACATAAACAGTAAAGAAGAAGCTATGTGACTCAAACATTTCACATTTACATGCTTACCTAGCCTTATCAGTCAGTCCTAATCTCGCTAAGCAATACTGGAAGCAATGTGATATGACTAAGCAACAGTAACAGTCACAATGCTTCAGTAACAGTCACAAAACTTCGGTAACATCACAAAACTTCAACATCGTTCGGAGTTGCCTCCAAGACTTTTGTCAACATATCTCTTGCCTTGTCCTATCTTTCAAGCCAGAAACGATATAGTGAGGATCTGCAACGTCTGATGAAAAGTCGATCGACTTGGTAAGCATACGTACGAGAGAGATAGTGTGGACCCCGGCCAGCTTCCCATAGGTACTAGCGCGGCGCACACGCAACGCGCGCCCGACTTGAACGCTTCTCATTTCACTTACGAACAAAAAAGCATTATAACCGAAAACAGGAGTGAAATGAGATGTGGAGGCCTCTAATCCGAACACGAGAAAAGCCAAGGCAATAGGAGAACCTTCACAACTTCTACTACTAGCGCTCAGATTCCAGTCAATCTCATAGATAACTGGAATCTTCTATTATCCATCGCTAGTAGTGTATGACACTACCAGCGATGGATGATAGAAGTAACAGGAAAAGTCGAAGAACAATTCTGAAAAGTCTTCCTTCTGGTCATAAAAAAACCCAGAAAGTTTGAGCTCAAGAGCACGATTGCAGAGCTCTGATGGTGTAACAAAAGGCTAGAAGCATCTACACTCCACAAAATCAACTGCATATACACTTATTCTGAACAACCTTTGGAGAGATGTCTCTGAACTACACCGAAATCTTCACTATTGAGAAAAAAACAAGATTTTCGAAACAAATGCTTGCAAGACTGTCAAGACTCGTAAAAATCCATCACCAGCAGTTGACGTGTGTCGTTTACATCTAAAGTAGAGATTACAGAAGAGAACAAACACACTTGAAAGAGGAAATTGAAAGAAATCCCTTCAGAGCCGAAACGAAAAGCGCACTGAAGGCATGCGCTGCGGGCGCGCCGCGGAGGTACCTATGGGAACCTGGCCGGGGTCCACACTATAGCAATAAACGGATTATTTAGACGATACTTTCATCACAACAACACTAGATAGTTGCGCAACTAACCTCATTGTTTCGAAAATCCAGAATTAATCTCAAAAACCACTCCATCA